ACTTTGGTAAAAATTCAAAGGGAAAAAATGCATTATGAGACATTTGAATTTTTATCACAAAATCCGATAAAGATAAAAACTTAGAATTTTCTGAGTCTAAAGAAGAAGGTTAGGAGGATCTTTCACCAAAGTTTCAAGCCGATCGATTCAAAATTCGAAAAGATCCCAAAAATCAAGTTAACAAACATTTAAAGGGAAAAAATGCATCATGAGACATTTGAATTTTTATCTCAAAATCCGATAAGGATAAAAACTTGAAATTTTCTAAGTCTAAAGAAGAAGGCTAGGAGTATCTTTTACCAAAATTTCAAGCCGATCGATTCAAAATTGGAAAAGATCCCAAAAATCAACTTTGGTAAACATTCAAAGGGAAAAAATGCATTATGAGACATTTGAATTTTTATCTCAAAATCCAATATTGATAAAAATTGAAATTATCTGAGTCTAAAGAAGAAGGTTAGGAGAATCTTTTACCAAAATTTCAAGCCGATCGATTCAAAATTGGAAAAGATCCCAAAAATCAAGTTTAACAAACATTTAAAGGGAAAAAATGCATTATGAGACATTTGAATTTTTATCTCAAAATCCGATAATGATAAAAACTTGAAATTTTCTGAGTCTAAAGAAGAAGGTTAGGAGAATCTTTTACCAAAATTTCAAGCCGATCGATTCAAAATTGGAAAAGATCCCAAAAATCAACTTTGGTAAACATTCAAAGGGAAAAAATGCATTATGAGACATTTGAATTTTTATCTCAAAATCCAATAATGATAAAAATTTGAAATTTTCTGACTCTAAAGAAGAAGGTTAGGAGGATCTTTTACCAAAATTTCAAGCCGATCGATTCAAAATTGGAAAAGATCCCAAAAATCAACTTTGGTAAACATTCAAAGGGAAAAAATGCATTATGAGACATTTGAAGTTTTATTTCAAAATCCAATAATGATGAAAATTTGAAATTATCTGAGTCTAAAGAAGAAGGTTAGGAGAATCTTTTACCAAAATTTCAAGCCGATCGATTCAAAATTGGAAAAGATCCCAAAAATCAAGTTTAACAAACATTTAAAGGGAAAAAATGCATTATGAGACATTTGAATTTTTATCTCAAAATCCGATAATGATAAAAACTTGAAATTTTCTGAGTCTAAAGAAGAAGGTTAGGAGAATCTTTTACCAAAATTTCAAGCCGATCGATTCAAAATTGGAAAAGATGCCAAAAATCAACTTTGGTAAAAATTCAAAGGGAAAAAATGCATTATGAGACATTTGAATTTTTATCTCAAAATCCAATAATGATAAAAATTTGAAATTTTCTGACTCTAAAGAAGAAGGTTAGGAGGATCTTTCACAAAAATTTCAAGCCGATCGATTCAAAATTGGAAAAGATCCCAAAAATCAACTTTGGTAAAAATTCAAAGGGAAAAAATGCATTATGAGACATTTGAATTTTTATCTCAAAATCCAATAATGATAAAAATTTGAAATTTTCTGACTCTAAAGAAGAAGGTTAGGAGGATCTTTCACAAAAATTTCAAGCCGATCGATTCAAAATTGGCAAAGATCCCAAATAAATCAACTTTGGTAAAAATTCAAAGGGAAAAAATGCATTATGAGACATTTGAATTTTTATCTCAAAATCTAATAATGATAAAAATTTGAAATTATCTGAGTCTAAAGAAGAAGGTTAGGAGAATCTTTTACCAAAATTTCAAGCCGATCGATTCAAAATTGGAAAAGATCCCAAAAATCAAGTTTAACAAACATTTAAAGGGAAAAAATGCATTATGAGACATTTGAATTTTTATCTCAAAATCCGATAATGATAAAAACTTGAAATTTTCTGAGTCTAAAGAAAAAGGTTAGGAGAATCTTTTACCAAAATTTCAAGCCGATCGATTCAAAATTGGAAAAGATCCCAAAAATCAACTTTGGTAAAAATTCAAAGGGAAAAAATGCATTATGAGACATTTGAATTTTTATCACAAAATCCGATAAAGATAAAAACTTAGAATTTTCTGAGTCTAAAGAAGAAGGTTAGGAGGATCTTTCACCAAAGTTTCAAGCCGATCGATTCAAAATTCGAAAAGATCCCAAAAATCAAGTTAACAAACATTTAAAGGGAAAAAATGCATCATGAGACATTTGAATTTTTATCTCAAAATCCGATAAGGATAAAAACTTGAAATTTTCTAAGTCTAAAGAAGAAGGCTAGGAGTATCTTTTACCAAAATTTCAAGCCGATCGATTCAAAATTGGAAAAGATCCCAAAAATCAACTTTGGTAAACATTCAAAGGGAAAAAATGCATTATGAGACATTTGAATTTTTATCTCAAAATCCAATATTGATAAAAATTGAAATTATCTGAGTCTAAAGAAGAAGGTTAGGAGAATCTTTTACCAAAATTTCAAGCCGATCGATTCAAAATTGGAAAAGATCCCAAAAATCAAGTTTAACAAACATTTAAAGGGAAAAAATGCATTATGAGACATTTGAATTTTTATCTCAAAATCCGATAATGATAAAAACTTGAAATTTTCTGAGTCTAAAGAAGAAGGTTAGGAGAATCTTTTACCAAAATTTCAAGCCGATCGATTCAAAATTGGAAAAGATCCCAAAAATCAACTTTGGTAAACATTCAAAGGGAAAAAATGCATTATGAGACATTTGAATTTTTATCTCAAAATCCAATAATGATAAAAATTTGAAATTTTCTGACTCTAAAGAAGAAGGTTAGGAGGATCTTTTACCAAAATTTCAAGCCGATCGATTCAAAATTGGAAAAGATCCCAAAAATCAACTTTGGTAAACATTCAAAGGGAAAAAATGCATTATGAGACATTTGAAGTTTTATTTCAAAATCCAATAATGATGAAAATTTGAAATTTTCTGAGTCTAAAGAAAAAGGTTAGGAGGATCTTTCACAAAAATTTCAAGCCGATCGATTCAAAATTGGCAAAGATCCCAAATAAATCAACTTTGGTAAATATTCAAAAGGAAAAAATGCATTATGAGACATTTGAATTTTTATCTCAAAATCCGATAAGGATAAAAACTTGAAATTTTCTGAATCTAAAGAAAAAGGTTAGGAGGATCTTTTACCAAAATTTCAAGCCGATCGATTCAAAATTGGAAAAAATCCCAAAAATCAAGTTTAACAAACATTTAAAGGGAATCATGAGACATTTGAATTTTTATCTCGAAATCCGATAATGATAAAAATTTGAAATTTTCTGAGTCTGAAAAAGAAGGTTAGGAGGATCTTTTACCAAAATTTCAAGCAGATCGATTCAAAATTGGAAAAGATTCCAAAAATCAACTTTGGTAAACATTTAAAGCGAAAAAATGCATTATGAGACATTTGAATTTTTATCTCAAAATCCAATATTGATAAAAATTGAAATTTTCTGAGTCTAAAGAAGAAAGGTTAGGAGGATCTTTTACCAAAATTTCAAGCCGATTGATTCAAAATTAGAAGAGATTCCCAAAATCAACTTTGATAAACATTTGAAGGGACAAAATGCATCATGCATGAGACATTTGAATTTTTATCTCAAGATCCGATAATGAAAAGATCTCAATAATCAACATTTAAAACATTTACATTTGACGTTAGATAATGGTTTTTAGGCTCAGTTTCACAATTAGTGGTAACCTGCACTGGTTATCAAACTCATAGTTGCGGGTTGACTACATTGAATATTCTGAATCAGTTACAATTGTAGGTTTCTAGTGTCTTGTGGTTACCTTTGGGTTACCATTAATTGTGAAACTATAGCCCTTAATTTTATAAAATCTTTATCAATATGACAAATTCGTATGAATATGATATACACCACCCACCGGTTTGTTCTATGGGCGATGTTTTCTGACAGTTTTTAAACTCTTGTGAGAACAGACGTATAAATGTACATGTTTATCGATATAATAGAAATAAGCTATTGACTAGGAAAACCTCAATTATTAACCTGAAAAGATGTCTATGTAGAAAAACAAACTCCCTTTTCGTCTTATACATTTATAAAAATAGTTCATCTACAAGCTGTATAAAATCGATTATAAAATTCAACCATTCTTCAAAGCAAACAAAAACATTCACCGTGACTACAACTAAATAAGTGAAGTTTCTCAGTATTTTACCGGTCTTCTTTTTTAGTTAAAATTTGAGTTCAAATACGTGACCCAACGCTATTATATATGGAACCCAAAAAGTCATTTATTTCATCGTTTCTTTTCTGAGTAATCTTGTGGGCCACATGTTTGAATAACTAATTAATTATTCCATAAATTGTATACAGGATGTGCAAATAAATAACAAAATTGTCCTTGTTGCATAGTTAACTGGACTAATACATTGCATATGGTGGACCAATTACACCAGAAAAATTAACTTCTTTTGTGGTTTGGTCCGCTTACGGTCGAACATTTGCGGTATTTCGGTCGCGTGCCATGTGGCATTCAAAAAAAAAAAAACGCAAACCAAAAACCAACAATTTGGTTTACCTACCAACTTTTGAATTTAACCATTTTGATAACTAAAACTCTGGTTTGATTTCCATCTGGATGTCTATTCTTGAAACCAAGAGCGAGCTAGTCCAAATCTCATTTTTGGCAGTGGACATATTTTGGAATCTTGACAAGCTCATGAATAATTGCCCACATATTTGATAATACTTAAGAAAATGGCCCACAATTATACATCCTTGGAAAGAGTAGGATTAAATTCTCTACAAGACTGTGCAAAATTGGTTTTTGTAGCGTGTGGATTTTCCGAGTTTGAAGATTTGCAAAGAAAAATCCAAAGAGGCATGATGGACTCATAAAACCTATTACCCTGTCTCTATCAGTTTCAACCAAATATTAGCATGAGCGAAAAAGACAAAACATACGCTGCTCCCCTATACTGTTTCGAGAATATGGACCCAGATTGCAAAAAACTATACACTTACAATGTTGCCAAGTAATGTAAAAAAAAGCACTAAAATCCTGAAAATTCCTTACCTCTACCGCTGCGTCCCACAAATCTCAAATCATTGAATTTGGCTTCCCCATTTTTCATTAGTGCACTATAATTCCGCATTTCCGCGCAGCAATTTTCGTCGTTTCCCGCCTGAACCACCACTTTGGTACCGTCAATAACTTCGGTAGCCGCAACCACCCTAAACCCCATCGGTAAAGTCTTATTGGACCGCCAATGCTCGGGCAATTTCGAGCAGAGCACGTAAGGGCTGCCAGTGGCGGCGAATTGTTCTCCAGGGTGTTCCGACTGGATCCTGTACTGGATTTCTTTGACGTAATCTTCATAGTTTTGGTACGCGGGACTGGGAAATAATGGTGGGTCGCACATGCTGGTGCGTGGCCAGGCCTCTTCGGATATGTTACAACTTTGGACGGGGAGATGCATTTGGATTTTTTGGTTTTTTTTAGTTAGGAACTTACATTAGGAGGACTTGGTTTTTTACGTTGGCAAACCTGCAACAAAAAAAAAACTAATAAATCTGCATACTTACTATAAATAGAATTTCGCTGATTCAGTCAATTAATATGTGCTTCGAGAGTGCTACATTATTTCAATGCTAAATTTAGGATCCAGTTATATTTTAGATCCTATTTGCGGCTTTTGCCTACCCAAAAAAAAAAACACGGTTCTAATACGATATTGTATCATAAATTATGTTATTTATTGTTGTTTCTAAGCTCAACTGTTAATTCTATTTTAGGCAACAAATTTCGTTTAAAACTACTGAACTCTAGTGACATGTGTAGGTACACCCTGTATAATAATGTGACATATGTATACCTACACTCTGTATGAGTTATTTGTAAATTGATAATAAAGCTAAGGGCGGGTATTATAAAACTATTTTGACAAAATAACTAAAAGTTAACTTCTAGAATGAGGTTACTTCTCTAATTCCAGAAGTTAACTTTTAGTTATCTGTCAAAATATTTTCATAATACCCGCCCTTAGTCAACAAATAGAGTGTATGTGTATGTCACATTATTATACATACCTGGAATGGATGAAAATTGAAACAAATAAAGAAGAGATAGATACAAGGTGTTACACAAAAGCAGGCCCGGATTGGGCTGGCGAATTACCAGGTAAAACTCGGTGGGCCGGTCAACTTCGGACTTCGGTGTATACAACTCAGTCCACGTCTACATTATTAATATTTTGAGAGATGAATTAAATTTTCCTTGTAAGAGCCTATATTTTTGCATAAATGGATTTTTTAAGGACATTCTAAGGTGCCAGGAGAACGCGAGAAAAATTTCCGTCTACGGCGCAGATGTTTGACCGTTGCCGCCATACTGAATTGATGTTTTGACAGGTCGTTGAATTGCTTTATTGCATTTTGTTGGTTTTATACGAAAAATGACGTTTATTGGGTAAGGTGCAAGGTGAAAAGAATTGAATTTTTAAGGAAAATCTAATTTTTCATCAAGTAAAGTGAAAATTATTCATTAGCTAACTTCACATTTTAAAAACACCAAAGGGCCTTGGGCGGCCATTTCAAAACTGTGTTTTTTGGCCGTCATTGATTTTTCTCGAATATTTTCCGATTTTCAATAGATTTCAGTGCGGAAAATGTTTCTTGTGATACGAGGAATTGGATTTTCCATAATCGGCAAGTCAATATGCCATTTTTCATCGAAAATATTTCCATGGTAAGTGGAAACTGTCATATTAGCTACAGTGGCGACAATTAATTGCCTTTCTGTTTTTAAAATCCTATATGTTCATATTGAAAATTAGCAAGAATATGGTGGCGAGGGCCTATATTCATTAAAGAAATATTCAAAATTAGCAAAAATATGGTGAAAAGACCTCTATTGTCGGCGCAATATGTTTGCCGAACTCAGTGAACAACAAAGCCAGTTTTTTGAGGTTAGTTTCTGTTAAATTGTGTTTTATGGCGTTTTTGTGATTTATATAACAGAAGCAATACATAAAAAAGATAATATTCTGTAGAAAATTAAAAACTTCCAGAAACAATGCCGCGGGTCAAATGCAAACTTGCTTTATTGTTCACTGAGTTTTGAGTACCAAATTTGATCATAGATGTCGCCTCCTCCGGGACCTTTCGCGAATTGAGTCCCTGTAATATCAGCTAACTTCACATTTCGAAATAAACATCAAAGTAGGCCTTGGACGGCCATTTTAAAATTGTGTTTTTCAACAAAAATGGCCAAGAGCCTGGAATAGAAAAAATATGAATATTCACATTTTTCATAATTCATCCTACAATCGTGCTTTCTCTTTCTCACTCATTCAAGTTGAGTTCGCTTTTTTAGTGGTGGCAATAGAATTTAATTTTTAGTTAGCTAACTTCACGTTTCAAAAACATCAAAGCAAGCCTTGGGCGGCCATTTCAAAATTGTGTTTTTTGGCCGTCATTGGTTTTTCTCAAATATTTTCCGATTTTCAATAGATTTCAGTGCGGAAAATGTTTCTTGTGATACTAAGGAATTGAATTTTCCATAATCGGCACGTTAATATTCAAATAAAATGCCATTTTTCATAGAAAATATTCCCATGGTAAGTGGAAACTTTCATATTAGCTACAGTGGCGACAATTGCCGTCCTATTTTTGAAATCCTATATTATATTATGTTCATATTGAATATTGGCAAGAATATGGCGGCGGGAGCCTGGCTCACTTCTGTATTCACCTGTAGGTATTGAGTCCCTGTAATATCAGCTAACTTCACCTTCCGAAATAAACATCAAAGTAGGCCTTGGACGGCCATTTTAAAATTGTGTTTTTTAACAAAAATGGCCATAATGATATTTTGCTCTGGTTTTTCTCGAATATTTCTCGCTTTCAGTGCGTAAAAGTGTTTTGAAATAAGTTTTGTATTGCAAGGTATAGAATTTTCCATAATTGGCACATTTTTCTCAGCAGAAATCTCAATGGTAAGTCAATTTTTCCAAATCAATTTTGTCTATTTTCGGCATTCGAATTTTGAGCCTGGAATAGAAAAAATATGAATTCCATTTCAATTCTTGTTTAATTCATTCTACAATCGTGCTTTCTCTTTCTCACTCATTCAAATTGAGTTTGAGATGAAATAAATTTTGCTTGTAAAATTAATTCCATATTTTTGCATAAATTGATTTTCGTAAGAACATTCTTAGCTGCCAGGAGAACGCGTGACCTTGAAAACTTCCAAAATTTCAGCCTGCTGCGCTATTAGGAAAGCGAAAATTATAGATCTCCTACTAGGTTACTGAATGGGCCGATATAAGGACTCCAATTTGGCCGAAAAAATTTCCCAATCCGGCCCTGCACAAAAGAAAGGACCTTGGTTTACCTAACTCTTTGAAAAAAATTGAAATCATAGAAAATCGATGGAATTCCATGAAATCCTAGAAAAATGACGTGGTATTCCAATAAATTTACATAAAATTCCAAAAAATTATGTTAAAAATATGTAAAATTCCAGCGAAATTATGCGAAATTCCAAAAAATGGGAGAAATTACATAAAATTTATAATCAGTAAAGAATTTCAAAAATAATATTTTGTTTTTCATTTTTATATTATCCTAATGTTCTGATGTAAATGCACCCAAAGCTAGCCAATGCAATTTCCTGTAGATATCAACTTAATCAGAATCACTTTGGGTTTACACCGGCATCTTTTGATGAAAATTCAAAAATAAAATCTCATTTTTTTTCTGACGAGGTTAAAAAAAGGTGGCCCAAAGACGAAACGTCGTCGGCGAATTTCAAATTTGATAGAGGAGAAAAGGGTAATGATGTGCCATTGTCATTTGTACGAATTTGCAACACCCTGTGTATTATATTTTTCATCATAGTAGGCCATGAAAAGATTTGTCAAAATTATAGGGCGAGTTTGAAATTAACATCTAGAAGAAAATAAAGCATAATGCTGAGTTGAGACACATAGCGTACCTACTATACAGAATGGGAGAGAAGGAGATGTAAATTAGAAAAACTGGAGCAAAAAGTTGATAAATTTGATAGCAGTTAGTAAAGATATTCTATCTTTTTTCTCAGATGATGTTTCGTATAAGATAAGTTGTTTCTCATGCCGAACTCGTCCAGACTTTTTTTTTTTGCGTCAAAATGACAAATAATGTTGTAACGTCGTTAAAATTCTGAATTATTTGACAGCAGTTAGTAGGTACCTATTTTGTCTCTTTTTCTCTTAGTGTTTCGTATAAATTGTTTCTTATTGCTCTAAGGGTTAATGCCGAACTCGCTCAAAACTTTTTTTTCCAAAATGCAAATACCTAATGCTGTTATAATTCTGAATTATTTGAAAAAAAACAACGCTGCTTTAATTAAATTGAAATATTTCAAAGAAACAAAGATGAGTCAACTTTGTATTTACAGCAGCCTGCTCTCGCGCAACACTTACTCAAGTCACTTGATTACTCACCATTCAAGCGGGTTTTTACGTCGTCTCGGAAAATCACGTGACTTTACAATAATCAGAACAATTTGAAGTAAGCACCTAAGTAGAGCGTCAAAATAAAAGTCACAGACACTTAAACAAGATGCGACGCGCGTAAATTTCAAAATTAACGCCCGGCAAAAGCGGCCGTTTATCCGGCAACGTCCGACAACTGACTGTCGGAACGGAATTGTTGTTGTTGCGTTAATTGTTGCTGTTGCTGCCCATACTAGAACAAAGAGGGCAAGAGGAGGCCGCGAAACGGACGAGACAAAGAGAGGCAGTAAATGGGTGGGAAAAAGGCGGTGGTTTGGGTGGTTTTTAGACGAGCGGTTTTTGGCCTTAAGGCGAGAGGAAATTGTGAAGAAAACGACGCGCGAGCGGAAAAGGGCGGACCACCTAAAGGCGGAGCTAATTTTTTTTTTTTTTGAAATTTTATTACAATTGTTTCAAAAAATATATACAATATGTGGGATTTTGTCGCGCGTTAAAATAACCGCAACCGAGAGTGTAAAACCGCAATTTTTAGAGCCCTACTCTGGTGCTAAAATGTCGCTTTCTGTCTCCATGACGTGCTATAAAATTTATAGATCTTTGGTCGCTCATAAAACCCGCATTAGTATTTTGCGGTAACAAGTTTTTGGTTTTTGTTTTAAAGTAAAATCCAAAACGGTAAAAAAATTTCACACATGATTACAGTTTTCTGTAAATTTGTATCGTACCATCAGCGATACAACACGATACCTAGTTTTGTGTCATTCACTAATAGATGACGCCACTATGAAAAATTCAAATGAGTACTTTATTAAAATTGATAAAATATCACCAACAATTAACAATCTAATTAAAACTAAAATACAATGGGAAAAACCTTATTGGGGACCTGTGAAGTTGCTCTTAAAATCCTACACATGATTACAGTTTTCTGTAAATTTGTATCGTACCAGCGGTACAACGGTACCTAGTTTTGTGTCTTTCACTCACTAATAGATGACGCCACTATAAAAATTCAAATAAGTACTTTATTAAAATGGAATAAATATCACCAACAATTAACAATCTAATTAAAACTAATATGAAATGGGAAAATTCCTATTGGGGACCTGTGAAGTTGCTCTTCAAGCCTTGCCAGCATTTGAAATATTCCGGGTCCAATTTTTCGCAAGTTTCGGCACCCCATTTGGTCACCGCCAGTCCCAAGCAACTTTCAAACATAAATGCCTGTGAAATAATTTTTTAGTTTTCTATATAAAAATTATTTATTACAATTTGAGCTCCGGGTGTAATATAGGAAATTTTGACAGTGAATAAATATTTGAAAATGTTGAATTTGATAGACATTATAGACCAGGAGATTTTGTTGCAGTACTTTTACTCAATTAATTACCTGAGTTCCTTCAGCTATCCGGCACGGTTTCAATATTTCATCGCTAGCAAAATCGAAACAATTCTTATCAGGCCCGTGAGGTGTCATAATGCTGTGCAAAGTGGCACCGCCAGGTTGAAATCCCCCTTTTTTAGCCTGCGAAATTCCAAATTTTCTTAATCAAACCACGTAAAAAATACAAAAAATATCAACCTCGTATTCGCCGAAAATGAGCCCCATAAACTCTGACATGCAATTTCTGTGATAATACGGCGGCCTGAAAGTATGCTCTTGCACTGACCACCTTGGCGGAAAAATCACAAAATCCGCAATCGCAATACCACTTGTGTCCGATTGGCAAGTCAAAACTGTGAATATTGAAGGGTCCTATTGGAAATTTGCTTTGTTATTTTGTATCATCAATTCTATAAACATCTACTTACGCAATGATCAAAAGACACTGAATTAATTACCATAAATTTGGCCAAATCGTATTTGTACGGCACGTAATTGCCGTGCCAAGCCACTACGTCGAAAGGGCTGTGACTTTGCTGGCACACAAACAATTTACCTTGGTACTTGCTTATAATTTCATAGTCTTGGTTGTCTTGGACTTGGTACCAAGCAGCCGGGTGCAAAAAGTCCCTGGGATTAGCCAAACCGTTAGCACCAATAGGGCCTAAATCAGGCAGAGTAAAATGCCTGCCGAATACTTCCAATATGTAACCTCTGGAAGGTTTAGTGACGTCAATTGCGAACCTCATGCCTTGTTGGATGATGCAAATTTCATTGGGGTCAACTTGCAATTTGCCAAATTCCGTTGTGATAAGGAGAGTACCAACTTGAGGAACTTTAAGCAAGCAATTATTTTTATTATGTACCTAAATAGAATTTAGTGTATTTATATAAGTACCTATTAAGAAATCCCCATCCGAATTGTACAAAGCCCTATTCCGCATAGATTTGTTGCAGGCATAGACATGTATAGCTAGTCCGTGTTTAGTTTTAGGCTCGCCAGCTCCGCAAAGTGTTTTTAGGCTTTCTACAAAATCTACATTTTCATAAGGTAGGGGCAAATCAAATGGGTTCCATCTCATCTACAAAATTCAGACAATTAGATTTGTCACATTGTCAAGGAGGTTCTTACTTGATTCGGATCAGGTTCTTGTTCGCTCCAGTCGTGAGTCAAAATTGACTCTTCGAATTTTTCAAACGGCTTGTGGCCTACTGATGGTCTTATCCTGTATAGCCAACTTCTCCTATGATAAATAACGATATATAGTTTATATAAAGTCAATCCGGATATCATAGAAACTATGTAGAATTCTTATGGAATTGAGCATATGCGTGCAACAGTCTAGTCTATAGGAATTCCCAAGAACTAATTCTTAGGTTATTGCACGCATATGCTCAATTTCATAAGAAGATGCCGCCCACGCAGTTTTTGGATTGACTTCGTATAAACTATACAAATTTCATTGCAAAAAGTAAAAATGGTTATTTCAGGGCTGAACTTTTGTAACGTCTACACCCTGTATAGTAAGTTGACATGTCTTAGTTATTTGGTGGAGGCGCCGCTTTCCTGGAACACCTTGACGACCTAGCCAAGGGAAACAGGCAGGACCACTCTGAACGACGGAAGGAAAATACCCTATAACCTTTCCCTTAACCAATCCAAACATAAAAGGGATACACCAGATACTTAAAATTAATTTCGTCAATAATAATTTAAACAAAAACTCTGAAATTCAAAATCAACGTAATTTGTGAGCGGAATCGATCAACAATATTTGATGAGTAGACAAAATTGCTTCTTGAAGTCCAAATTGATGTCGAGCAAAATACACAAGGGAGACTCAAAAGTGGCAGTTGAAAATAATATGGTAGAAAGAGACTCGGAAGATGAAGAAGTTAACGAAAAAGACGAAGGATTATCAGAAAATGAATAAATGTATAAAAAAAGGGTCAACAAAAAGTATAGTCAACGTCAGAGTTATGTTACCAAAAAACAGAAACGACAGAAGACTATTATGTATCGATCACACAATTAGGAAGAAACATTAGATGTAGAGGAGAAAAAGGAGCAGAGTGATTCAAGATAGCACAAAGCTTAGCCCGTTTATGGTGACTTTCGCCAAGGAACCGACCATTCCGTCGGAAGCAATGTTGATTGATAGTGACTCAGAGGCGGATACGCTACACTTGAGGGAAAAAGCGCTAGCTATAAGGGCTATAGCGGCGGAGAATATTTGCAAGAGGCAAATAAAGGATAAAGTACGATTCGACAGCAAACATAGAGAGTTGAAGTTTGATATTGGAGATAAAGTGAAAATTTTCGTGTCAGTGAGAAAAGAAGGCCGAAGCGAGAAATTGCCAATAAAATGGTTCGGACCATACAAAGTGTTAAGAAAATTAGGAGAGGTCGACTATGAAGTTGGGAAAAAAGAAGGACACGGTTCATGTAAGTAGGATACTGCCCTACTACGACCCTTGGACAGGGGATTCCCCAGTTTTAGAAAAAATGTTAGAGGAATCAGAAACTGAGAGTAGTACTGAGGAAAATGAGGAGGAAATAGAGGAAATCAGCGAATACTGAGGCCTCAATGATTAGTACGAAAAATCGATTGGGATCGCGACCCACATCGGAAACATAAAACTTTAAGATAGAAAAAATATACCTACTCACTATTAATTTAATGAGCATATTTTTAATATAGCAGATATAGAAACATAATTATTATGATAATCAAAAAACCGCAAGCATTGCTTTATTCTATACCACACAAGTCTGCTATTAATATTCGTCATATATTTGGTGTATAAAATAAACTAAAATTTGATTAACAAGCAAACTTATAGTCGAGCAGAACCCACGGTGCCTATTGCTTATTGAGAAACTAGAAAACAATGAAATCAGATGCAAGCTAAGCAAACCAACGCCAGCTACAACAATGGTTGCTGACGGAAGTACCTACTGCAAAATCAAGGCTTGAGCTAAAATAAGCAAATGAATTATTACAGGAACGTAATGAACAAATTTGTATTATTTTTTTTATTTTGTAAGTTGATATAATAGGATATAAAAATATGAAATAATGTTAGGTAAAATATTGCTGGCCAGCAACTTATTAATGGAAATTAGGGATAAAGTTATAAGATAAATAAGGATACATATAATATAAGGTCAGGTATTAGGTTACAAAAAATATATGTATATAGCAGGTATAACAAGGGATAGTAAGTAAGGATAATTATTATTATATATAAATGATAAAAAGGTAAGAGATTTCCGTACTATAGGATGTAAATAAAACTCGAAAATTTTGTAAACTTTGCTAATCACTTTTGTATAGTAAAACAAGGCAGAGGCGTCTCAACCATAACCTTCCAGTGGCAGCGGGAACTTCAAAGGAGAAAACTCAAAAAGCTAGGGGCACTATTCAAAGCGCCACAACCACGGAACAAGCTTCCAACCAAAGGTCCCCTACGAGAAACAAGGTCCACTACGAAAAGCAAACCACGGGCCAAGAATCCACGATATTGGATACACTAGCCCAGATACCACGACATGCGGAAGACAACGCCAGAACATCCTACAAAAGCAATTGTTTGAACCAAGACCACATCTTCAAGACCAACCTAGGCCAATCGCTAGCCTAGATCCACGACATGGGATCCAACAACCTAGATACCACGACATGCGTGAAACGTTGTCAGAACATCTACAAGAACAATTGTTTGGACCAAGACCACGACATCTACAAGACCAACCTAGGCCAATTGCTAGCCTAGACCCACCTTCAGTCAAAGTCTGAGCCAATAATAAGCCTAGGCAACACAGCAGAAGACGTTGTCAGAACACAAAGGAGTCCACTGACATGAAAGCAAAACCAGAACATCTACAGTGTTCGAAGCCATGGAAGAATGGACACGCACAAAGAACCAATCACAAAGAAGAAGACGCTCGAAGATGAATAATGTAGTTTTAAGTTTTATTTAAAGTTTTTGTATTTTTTTAAAGTTTTTGAAGCCAGATACGTCTCCTCGGGCATTGTGGGGCCAATGCCTTCATCGGGAGGCATGTGTCAACCCTACATGGGACCGCACGGGCTATAACCAAATTCAAAACACTGAACCACGGGTTATAACAAATAACTGCAACTAAGCAAGAAAACACAAATTATCCTAATCATAGTCAGCAAATATTGGATATAAAAACCCGGGCCACACTATGGCAAATTAGTCGTGTCTCAGCGCTTCGCTGCAATCAGTAGGTGTTTAGAGACGACTCAAAGTTGGGGAACTATCTGGACTAATATAGTTAATACGCTATCGTATCTCTATCAGGGCAGATACTTTCTGACGACCCAGGCTTTGACCTACAGTGAAAAGGCTTTCTAGATTTTCCTGTAGGGCTGGTTTGGTTGTTTAGCCTTGCAGGGGTATACCCGACGTTTGACTGTCCGCCCTTTTTTGAGCCTCACCACCCGAAGGGGCGTTATCTGGTCCCAGATGACGATGATGTGGGTGAATAGTCGAGCTACACAGCGAAGCAGAGACGTTTCGTGACAATATAAATTGATAACAAAGCTTAGTCAACTCTATAATAACTGATACAAAAGTCTATTATACGTAGGGGAGCACGTATGTCATAATTTTTCTATACCTACTTGTTTAACAATAGTTATGCATTAGTTGTAAATATTTTTGAATATACAGGGTGTTTCGTTTATCGGGTCGTATCTTGAAACTTACAGATATGTATACAGGATGAGGCAAAATTATGGTATACTTGCCTGTTTTGACTTCTCGGTGCGGTAAAAGCGCTTCCAGACAATTGTTCCGCGTACAAACCGTAGGGACATTTTTTGGGGCTGTTTTGGCCATGGGGCAAAGCACCCGGACATCTTGGGTCTTCCGAGGAAAATTCAGAACCGAAACCTCTCAAATACTGAAGACAAATCATAAGTCAATACTGTATCAGGATTTTAAAAGAAAATTCCAAAGCGGTTATCCTAAGTTAAAAATTCTTACCTTCAGATCGCTCATTTCAAAGATACTTTTCTCATGAAAATCTAAAAGAAAAATGAATTGTTGCCAACAAGATACTAGTTATGTAACGCGTTGTTTTCCCATTATAAACAGGTTGTTTTTCACAACAATTATTCGTAGTAAAATAACCAACAACGCCATCAATATACAATATACCAGGAAGTGTTTGGTACATAAATTTGTTGGAAGGCATTATATGCATTATATGCAAAAATTTGTTTTATTTTGGGACACTCAGTATATATTATTCCAATCAATTATACAGGTATGAATATTCTATTTGAATTTGAAATAATTGTAAAACGCCCCAGGAAATTGTTGTTGAATGTAAAAGAGAATGTAAATTCCATTCAATAGTCAATAGAATATGCGTTGTTTTGCTAAATTTAGTAATTTGTTCATTCAAGTAGTAGTTAATCGTTTAGGGCCAAATTATGGACCAACTGATAAATATCTGGTTGTTACCTACCAGGTACTTTCTATTGGCTCTTAAGGGGCAAAATTTTCCTGAAACTTTTTTATACAGAAAATGCCATTTATGCAGTCTTTCTGGAAACAAGAAAAGATAATATGTGATTCTGGGTAGTGTTCTCTGGTACAAACCCTATACCACCTTTTCAAATAATGCAATTATGGACAGACTCAGACTGGTAACGTCTGGCAAATTTACCCTGCTAGTAAAATTTGTCAATAATGTTACCAGTCGGTCCATAATTTGACCCTTAGTGCGGATAAATTAATTGTTAAGTTAAAACCTTATAACTTTTGTCATTTTGTTTGCTAAGGGCCAAATTATGGACCAACTGGTAAGTGTCTGGTTGTTACCTAGCAGGTACTTTCTATTCTCTAGTACATAGAAAGTACCTACCTGCTAGGTAACAACCAGACGTTTACCAGTCAGTCCATAATTTGGCCCTAACAAGGACTCAACTAACAATTGATCTTCCTGCCTTTAGAAAAACCTTAAATATCTTTAATCTTACAGGACAAAGCCTGGCAATCAAAAACTCATAAAAAACACGCAAGAAATTTTAAAAAAAAAAACCTTATAATTTATTATTTACATCCAGTCTTTTATACAATAAAAATACAACCCATCGGCTTATCAATTTTTTTTATTTTAAAAATTGTTTCAAACTTATCACAAACTAATGAGCGCTGACACTGACTTGCCACACCCTAATAATATTGTCAGAGTAACCGGCGAACAAGGTTTGACCGTCGGTGGACCACGCCAGCGACAAACACTGTGGCGGTTCAGCTTTGGGGCCTTGCGATTGCGACGCCACTTCTGGTTTGAGTTCTTCCACCATTTCTTTGCTTTCGAGGTCCCAAATTTTGATTGATGGTCCAAACGCAGCACACAACCAATACCTGAAAAAATTGAGTCAAAATTAATATACCATCAAATAATAATACAAATTGGTATTTGTTTGAGATTTTTTTATCAGTCCCATATCCGCATAAACCCTCTCATAGACAATCAAGAGGTTAAAAGTTTGTATCATCACAATAATTCAATATAAAAAAAATTGTAATGATTCTAGAAGATTTATTACCTGTTTGGTGAGAAGCACAAAGCAGTGATAATGTCATTGTGGTCCAACGTGTGCAAATGTTTGCCATCATTCAAATCCCAAAGCATGGCTTTGCAGTCTTTGCCTCCAGAAGCACATAGGGAACCATCAGGTGAAACTGTCACTGTGTTGAGGTACCCAGCGTGTCCGGTGTGGTTAATCTTTAGTCTGCAATTGGTCAGGTTCCATACTTTAACCATGCGGTCCCAGCCAGCTGAGACAATGATCGGATTGGCGTGGTTTGGAGAGAAACGTACACAGGATACCTGTTTAATGATTATAGTTAGAAATAAAAATCTTTTGCTATTATTACTTTGACAAAGTGTCCTAAATCATCCTGGTAAACTTGACAAGTTTGGGTTGAATTCAAGCTCCTACCAAGATTTAGTTTTAATTTTCTTCCCACATATACTACAGGTTTATTAGGGAACTGGGGGAGCACCAACTCGTATAAACCTTGGTCTAGAAGGAAGTTTTAAATCAAACTAATAGCCGGAGAGCCAGCGCCGAAAAAATTCTCTGAATTTAGTAAAGCCAGTTTTTGGTCATTTGATTACAGTATTTACGTACAGGGTGTTTCAACTTCGAGCCACATCATTGGGATCTCGGAAACGGTAAGATATACAGGGTTGGCTAAATGGGAGCAAAGTTGCGTAATTTGATGCTTAACAAAATGCCGCTTTGACATTTAGGATATTCCGAATACTTTCGACGATATCCGGAAAAAAACGCAATATTTTTTCCTGACTTTATTGTGATATATTATAAAACTGTAAATTTTACTCCATAATATTGCTTAAATATATTATTATTATTATTATACTTTTTCTTCTCTACAAGATGCTACCATCAAATTTATAATCTGACGTTTTGTTTTTGGGCCACCGTCATCAACTCTATTTTATTAAATTCAAGCCTGGATTTTTTATTTCAGATTTTTAGTGCTTCTGATGTCCCAAAACCTATGACGTATCGCATTTATTCGAAAAAATATTTTTTCTATTTTTTAGTAATTTCCTACCAAAATTCTCTTCTCTGTCTCTCTCTAACATATTTGGTTCTTATGGAAAGTACCAATAATATAATTTTTTTGAAGAGGTGCAATACGTCATTAGTTTTGGGACATCAGAAGTTTGTGAAATCTAAAATAAAAAATAAGGGCCCGTATTTAAAAAAATGAAGCTGATGATGATGGCCCAAAGACGAAAAATCAGATTTCAAATTTGATGGTAGCATCTTGTAGGGGAGAAAAGGTAGCAATGATGAAGTGACATTTATTTTGGAATATCACTCCAAATAAAGTCAGGAAAAAATAAAAACAATTTTGCAAAATTTTGGTTTTTTCCGGATATCTCCGGAAGTATTCGGAATATCCTAAATATCAAAGCGGCATCAAATTATGCAACTTTGCCCCCATTTAGCTAACCCTGTATATATTACCGTTTCCGAGATCCCAATAATGTGGAACTCGAACCTGAAACAACCTGTACATAAACATACCTCGGTCAGCCAAGCGAAACTTGGGACAAGGACCTAGGGTGTCTGGTTAAAGTTGTCGAGATAGCTAGGTAATGCAGCGAATTTACTAAGGCTGAAAATCGCTATACATATTATATATAACACATAAATAACAGTGATGTTTATTTACAACCACATACGTAATGTTGACATTTCTGATTTTTCAAAAGTTTAAAAGTGAAACTTTTTTGAATTTCACTTCCCTCCCGGGTGGAAAGTGAGCCCTCATATCCCTGGAAATCTCTTATAGTACATAAAAACTTATGCTTTATGCAAAACCTTGTGTGATGGCCTTAACATAAGACATAACAAAGTGTTAACTATTGTCTTCCATGTGAAAATTAGAATAACTAAAAGTTAACTCTAGGATGACATTGTTGAAGAGAATTCTACATATTTATAAATAATTTTGAAGCTTAGGTGCCTCAGTAATTTTTTGGAAATTTGATTTTTCTAAAAATGACACTGATACCCATTTAGCCTGACAACTTTGCTAAATTCAATCAGATTTTAATGTAAATAGGCTTAAATTAAAACAGAGAGATGAAAGATGGAATGAAACTCAGTGCACATGAAACCTGTTAAAATTCTTACCCAATCAGAATGTCCTTCATCTTGAATGGTGTATTTGCATTCGGCCAAAGTGTTCCACAATTTAATAGTTTTGTCTCTTGATCCGGACACGATTTGACGATTGTCGACTGAGAAGGCAACGCTCAAGACATCCTAACAAAAAGAAAAAACTGTTAAACCAACTGTAAAAATTTGAATTTATTAAACAAATTCCTCATACACACGCTATATAAAAAGAAATGTACAATCTCAGATTGAGGCTGAAAATTAAGTTAAATCATTTTCTCCGCACCCAGAAATTGAAAGTTTGCTTTCCTTCCATTTGACAACCGCGAATGAATTCTAACCATCAAACCGGTGCTTTTATGGAAGGAACCTAAATCTAACCCAACTCATACTCACGTTCTATGTCTCGTGCCGTCTCGGATTTCTTCTGACGTAGCAGAGATATGTGATAATAAAAAACAAAAAATCTTCTAGCTGTGGTTAAACATGGGAATTAATTTTTATAGGATTTTTCCTATTGTAAATAGACTAAAATGGTCAAACCTTGGTGTGATCCTCGAATCGCCTGGTGGTTTTTCCGGCGGCCAAGTCCCACAGACGCAAGGTTTTGTCCCAGGAGCCTGACAAAGCGTAGTTGCCATCGCTGGAAAGTACTACGTCAGAGATAAAATGCGAATGTCCGTGAAGGCGTTTTTGGGGCACGCCGTATTGGTTGTCTTCGCGGGTCAATTTCCATACAATTAAAGTCTTGTCTGTGGAAAATATTTAGCGTAAAACATGCAGTAAGGCCTTTAGTTGTAATAAATTACAATTTCAAGCCTGGATGGGTTATATTTATCAAGATGTTTGCAGATTTTTATTAAAATTGGAAATTCACTTACCTCGAGATGAAGACAGGATCATGTCAGGGTATTTGGGGTTGGTGGCGATTTGGGTGACCCACCCATTGTGCCCCAATAGGGTTCCTTTGAGTTGCAGAGTCTCGCTCATTTTTTTTGTCAAATAAATTAAAAGTCGATGTGCACCTCCAGGACACCAAAACGAAAAGAAAAATGAAGTTTTCGATTTTGGGCTGATGGAAGCTTTTCAATACGACGCATGCGCAACGCATTCACTTGACAATTTAGAGATGGTAACGATGTATCGATATATTTGAATCGATATTTTACTTGGCAATTTCCAGTCACTCAATTGTCAAGTAGGATAAACGTTCAACTTATTGAAAAATAGATGGGCAACTGGAAATTACTGGTTCTGGAACGGTTCTCATGTCGGTTGGAACAGAGTTGTTCGAGCAAATTTAACATTATTTGTCACTTACACATATATGGCAATTTCCATTTGTCAATCATTGCGCTCTGAGTGTATTCGCATCTTTTTCTAAAAGCATGTAACATGTAGGGATAAGGATACATTTTTTCTGCACTGGTTCGACAAAATGGAAAACGCTATTAGTGTGTTCATTTGTACTACTTTTCTTGCACCGACGTAACTGCAATTTTTTCCAAAACTGAGTTAAGTGCGCTAATGGAAAAAGAAAACTCGATTTCATTTGGTACAAAATTGCCGCAATTGTACTACCAAATTTGACCGCTAGATGGTAGTTGCGTCGTTACACTGGGGCTATGTTCCGATATCAACTGCCAGTACTGGATTTACTGTGCTGATTTTACTGTCCGATTTCAGCAGCGTACTCTCGTGGTCATTCAGTACTGAATCGACTGAATCCATTGTACTGAAAATAATATCGGAACGGCGTCCAGTAAATTCAGTACTGACAGTTGATATCGGAACATAAGCGGGAGCTGTGGAAAGTGGAGCTTCAACGCCTCAAACCTTGGGATAGACGTCCCCGGGTAGGGTTTCCATACGTCCGGATTTACCCGGACATGTTTGGTTTTTTAGGGTGTCCAGAGAAGACGTAAAATTTCACTTCACGCATTAGTACGTAAAGTAAGTCACTTTACACACTAGGGTCACTAGGCAATTTTTCGCGAGGATAACCAAGCATACTCGAGTATGCTAGATTATGTGATATGTCATACTCCGGTTGTGATACTCCCCTAACTCACCCATCATCAAATTCTGGGATACTCGAGGATCAAGAACACTTAACTTCTGTGAGAAAAGCAGACCGAAAATCACCTTTTCTACATTTAAAATTGACGAAACAATTAATTCACTAACACAGCCTGAATTGCAAGCATTCCATCGTGGTCTGCGGGTGACGTCATCACTATAAGCTGCTGGTAGTGACGTCACGCGCAGGCCCAGAATTGAATGGAGAGGAAGTTAGGGGAGTATGACACAGTTGACACATCACATAACCCAGCATAATTATTATGCTTGATTATCCTCGCGAAAAATTGCCTACTAGTGCGCGAATGACAGATGTCGACACTATAATTTTCTTCTAGTAAATTACTTTACTTTAGGCACTAGTGCGTAAAGTATTTGTCTAAATTTATTTTTTTACACATATTTTATTGATAGTAGAAAATTTTTGTATATTATGCAATACGTGTGTAAAGTGAACCTTTTTCGAATTTCTTGACTCCTTTGTCCTGAATTCCGAAACCCTAACCCCGGGGCTTGACGCCCCGATCAAAAAGAACAGTTGTTTACCTTTGAAAATCGTGATCCAGGGCGCCTTGGGGCGCCCAAGTCCCTGAAAAAAAAGCAGTTCTCAGATCTTTCTAATTTTCAAGCAGGTAGAGCAAATACAAATGAACAGCCGAATAGCCCATTCATCTAGAGCTGGGTTCGGCTTGCACACTTCGTGCACTCCGAGTGACTTCGTTCGCACTCCAGCCGTTCGGGTATTGCCTTTTAACGAATCAGACAATGGCTGGAATGCGAACGGAGTCACTCGGAGTGTGCAAACCGAACCCAGCTTAGGTAAGTAAGAATAAGTTGTTGATCAAGGATAATACACACTGCTACACAGGATTGCTTATCGGTTCTTTTTGGGAAATCGATTCCATATCTCTCCCTCTGTATAGTTTCTTTTCTTGGTAATGGTTCTATCTCTCCTTCACACTTGACACTAATTTCTTTGTAACAGTAGTTGATAGATAAACATTGAATATTCAAGAGCCGGGAATAGAATAGAAAAATCAATTCCATCTCTCTCCCTTTGTATAGTTTTTTTAATTGGTAGTAGTTTATCTCTCTTGTTCTTGTTCTTTTTATTCTTTATTTATTTATTTCATTAACTTTAGAGAAGCTTAGTCTGGAGTACTCTAGAATAACTTATTCTAGAGTACTTTGAAGTAACTTATTCTAGAGTACTCTGGAGTAGCTTACTCTAAAATAGAGTACTCTGGAGTAGCTTACTCCAGAGTATTTTGGAGTAACGTACTCTAGAGTAGCTTACTCTGTGGTAGCTTACTCTAGAGTACTCTGGAGTAGCTTACTCTGGAGTACTCTGGAGTAGCTTACTCCAGAGTACTCTGGAGTGGCTTACTCTGGAGTAGCTTACTCTAGAGTAGCTTACTCTAGAATAGCTTACTCCAGAGTACTCTGGAGTAGCTTTCTCCAGAGTACTCTGGAATAGCTTACTCCAGAGTACTCTGGAATAGTTTACTCTAGAATAGCTTACTCCAGAGTACTCCGGAGTAGTTTACTCTAGAGTACTCTGGAGTAGCTTACTCCAGAGTACTCCGGAGTAGTTTACTCCAGAGTACTTTGGAGTAGCTTACTCTAAAGCACTCTGGAGTAGCTTACTCTAGAGTATTCTAGAGTACTCTGGAGTAGCTCTAAAGTACTCTGGAGTAGCGTACTCTGGATTTTTGCTCCATTACAGTGGAAAAACTATGTGGCCAATTATGTGGGGGGGGGGGGCTGAATTAACGCTAGCGCCCCTCCAGTGAAAATTCAGAAATTTGATCATGCTCATTTTGTTCTCTAAGTTTTGCTCCATTTTGCTCCATTTTGCTCCATTATCGGCAAGTTTTGCTCCATTACCAGGAGAGACCTACAGAGCTCCCAAAAATCTATCCTAGCCCTCCCCGGTAAAAATTTTGAAAGGACCCCGCAATATTTAAATGGAAATTGGTTACCCGTGATATTTGGATCAAATTTAAATATGTTATTGGGGATGCCGTAAGCAACATTTTTTACCATGGGCACAATCCTGTATATATGACAGGTGAGGTATGGTTAGCTGTCAAATATTGGAATTTTATATCCAAAAGCAGAGTAACTATGGCAGATTTTGATGAACAAAATATCTATTTCTACTAAGTCGACTAAGTTAAGTCGAAAAATGTCAACCATTTTGACACCTGTCAAAAACCCTGCCAAACGGCAGCACTCATCTTTTCCAGTTTTCAATATTTTATAATGTCATTTGATATTTTTAACTTGTATGTAAATTCTGAATTCAAAATTTGAAAAAAATTACATCATTGTGGATTTCATTTGTAAGTGTCAAAATGTTTGAGTACTTTAATGATTTCATTATAGTACTAAGTACTATAATGACTGTACTATAATGACTAATGAAATTAAATCCTTTATACGTAAACAACATACTTCAAAATGAAAATTGACATCTCTGTCAAAATCTGAAACCTGCGTATAATATTTTTTCATGCGTTATCATAAATAAGCCTAACTTACATTGAAAAAAAACTAGATTTGATTATTTTTTGAATTAAAGCTATTGACAGATTCTGACAGCTGTCAAAATGTGACGTGCATGAACTTTGTTCAATGTTTTATCACCAATAAACTACCTTAAAACGAGAAAAAACCAGATTAGAGTATTTTTTTCTACTAAAACAAATGACAGGTTTTGACAGTTCTGTCATTTTTTTTTCAATTTTTGAATTCAGAATTTACATACAAGTTAAAAATGTCAAATGACATCATAAAATATTGAAAACTGGAAAAGATGAGTGTTGCCATTTGGCAGGGTTTTGACAGGTGTCAAAATGGTTGACATTTTTTGACTTAACTTGGTCGACTAAGTAGAAATAGATTTTTTGTTCATCAAAATCTGTCATAGTTACTCTGCTTTTGGATATAAGATTCCAATATTTGACAGCTAACCACGCCTCACCTGTCATATATACAGGGTTGTGCCCATGGTAAAAAATGTTGCTTACAGCATCCCCAATAACATATTTGAATTTCATCCAAATATCACGGGTAACCAATTTCCATTTAAATATTGCGGGGTCCTTTGATCATGCTCATTTTGTTCTCCGAGTTTTGCTCCATAATCGGCGAGTTTTGCTCTGTTACCAGGAGAGACCTACAGAGCTCCCAAAAATCTGTCCGAGGAGGGCTAGGAGAGATTTTTGGGAGCTCTGTAGGTCTCTCCTGGTAATGGATCAAAACTCGCCGATAATGGAGCAAAATGGAGCAAAACTCAGAGAACAAAATGAGCATGATCAAATTTCTGAATTTTCACTGGGGGGGCGCTAGCGTTAATTCAGCCCCCCCCACATAATTGGCCACATAGTCTCTCCACTGTAATGGAGCAAAAATCGAAATTAGTGGAGCAAAATGAGAACAAAATTATGGGATAATTTTCATCAAGAAATTTTCAATGGGGGGGGGGCTAACTTAACTGACCCTAAAAAATGGATATTTGATTAAAAATCAGCGTGGCAATTGGTTAATATAACTAGTTTACCCGGGACCGAATTTATTACCTATGCAGTATCAGGTAAAAACAAAGCTTGGACCCGAATTTACTGGTTATTTTTGCACAAATACACTGCCGAGCATAACATTAGGGTCACCCCATAATTTGCAATTATTTTTAAAATTTTTGGTTTTTGCGAATTGTTTTTTTTTTTTTGTGTAAAGTTCACTAACTTTGCGATGATTTTGTCGTAGTTGCTTAAATTTAAACAAGTTCTTGTTGTTTTGTCCCAAGTTTTGCTTGCAAATTATGGGATGACCGTAATTTTATGTTCGGCAGTGTATTTATTGGGACCGAAAATTGAAAAATTGATTGAGAGTATTTGATACTTTCAGCACCAAAACGAATAAACCTAAATTAAAACCAGTGATGCACAAATCCTCCAGTAGCTTGGTAAAGTTTAATTTAAACTCCTAGTCACTCAGCACGCAAAATTGTCTATGGTATTGCTGGCTCAAGCGCATTTCCACCAGAGAACGGAAAATATAAATTGAGGCATTTTTCGCTCGTTCTGCTTTCTAGTGCGAATATCAATTTTCCCGGTGAATGTTCGGTTGAGTCGTGGAAAAAAAATCCTAAAAGTGTATTTTTCAAATTTAATTGCTTTATTTTTATACACATTGAGGTCAAAAGTTATTTTGCAATTTTAGGAGAAAATTCCAAAAAATTGTAAAGTGCAAAATTTTCCTTGGAAATTCAAATTAGACTTATGGAATTTTTTCATTAGGTATTTAGAAATTAACATATTGATAGAAAAAAATCGTATACCTATTATATTAATGTAGTAATGTAATAATAAATTTTAATTTAATTGAATTTCAAAGCGTGTCATCATTAAAACTGGAAATTTTGATGTTTTGTGATCTCTGCAAGCATTATTTTACAAGCGCCCATCAGCAGGAGTAACAAATATTCATCAAAATAATGCTCAGAGATTTAATTAAGTAATTAGTTCTAGTTTTAATGCACCAGTGTGCTTTTTGGTCTTCAACATTTCGATACAGAGAAAAAGTGTAATTACCCAATTACCTTGTTCTAGATTAAAATCTAAAATATCTGCATCGAGACTTAAAATATTCATTGGTGCCTCATCACATGGTGCACCTTGAAATCGCCAATAAGTGGTACCTAAGAAAATAATCTCGTTGTTTACCATTCCGATTATATCGCGCAAAGGTGCAAATTGTGTTTACGAACGATAATAAAAATGATTTTTAATTATTTCGACTTTATATGGTGTGTTATCGGCTGCTTCACTAAAGAATCATGAAGATTTTTGGTTTTGCTTTATGGTAAGATTTAATCTAAAAGTTGAATCGATATATTTTTAATCTAACTTTGAAATAGTTTAAAGAGGGCTTCGTGAAACCTGCAATAAGCGAGTTACTTTAATAAAAATTTTAGAATTGCTTAGAAAACCTTTAGGGGTTTTGGCTAAAAATATTTTTGTTATAAAGCAAGATTTATTTTCAGTTGTAAATATGTCCAGTGCAAATGGTAGTCTTTAGAAATTCTGTTATTTGGCTTATGAAGAAAATTATCTACTTTGCTTAGATTTTTTTAAGTTGATTTTCAAGATTTTGTCATGTTGCCATTTTTCATCGAATTAATTTGAAATTCCAGCATATGATGAGCTGTTTCTACGACAAAAAGTTTCAAAACTTGATTTTGATCAAATGAGTGGAGAATTTTGTAATTAACAAAGTTATAAAGCAAAATAAACAGGATGTTTTTTTTTTTATATATTGACATCCCACCTACAGCCTTTACCTTTACATATAGATGGAAAGTGTAAATAGAAAAGTTGTACAGTCCATGTTGATCTTAAAAATTTCAAAAATACTATCAGAGAAACCAAGTACCTCAAATTTTACCTGCAGTTTTCACCTGTACAGGTAGAATGATTCACAAAATCAGCTAGTAGTAGGATAGTATTTTTACAATTTTTGGAGTTGAATAGTGTTTGTCTGAGTGTATTGATTTGTCGTTTTGTGAGGGTATTTTTCTCCGGAATGTTTGAAGCGGGCAGTGGTAGTGCCTTTAAGGGTGGGGACACAGATTAACTCGTCCTAAAGATAGGAAACTTCCATGTAAAATGTTCGTTCGGAGCTGTCTAAAAAATTACAGGTATGAGAATTTCATGACTGCCAAAGCTATGCGGCGCTAGTATAGCAAAACCACAAGCAAATGTCATGTGTGAAAGAATGTAATTTGTCATTGTATTCACAGAACATATCACCTCTAGAAAAGTATCTGCAATGTTATGTACCGGTTATGAATTACGGCGCCATCGTTGACTGAAAACCTAACTAATCGAGCATTCTTGACAAAAAGGCGAATTACGAATTTCTTGGAATTCAAAAAAATACAATTTTCTTGGAATTTATAAGGTTACAATCTTAGAAATTCACAAAATTACAATTTTAAAATTTCTTTTAAATTCACAAAATTACAATCTTGAAATTTACAAGATTACACTTTTTATATTTTCTTGGAATTTACAAGATTTCAATCTTAAAATTCACAAAATTACAATTTTGAAATTGTCTAGGCATTCACAAAATTACAATCTTAAAATTCTCAAAACTACAATTTTGAATTTTTTTTTTTGAATTCACAAAATTACAATTTTCTTGAAACTCATAATGTTACAATCTTGGAAATTTTAAAATTACAATTTCAAAATTCACAAAATTACGATTTTCTTGGAATTCAAAAAAATACAATTTTCTTGGAACTTATAAGGTTACAATCTTAGAAATTCACAAAATTACAATTTTAAAATTTCTTTTAAATTCAAAAAATTACACACATTAATGAGAGTTTCATGACTGCCAAAGCTATGCGGCGCTAGTATAGCAAAACCACAAGCAAATGTCATGTGTGAAAGAATGTAATTTGTCATTGTATTCTTTGCCATTAGACAGCCGTTTGATATTTGTTAAAAGTGTTCTTATTCTATGGTGTTCTTTATTTGATTTTCTATCAATTTTTGATAAAACTTTGCCTTCATAATATGTTTTTAACCAAATAGACTTTATGTTACATGTAAATATTGTGGAAATGATTTTAGTGATGGTATTTATTTGCAATTTTTGACAAAAGTCATTTGTGCACTAGACCCTTCAAATTTGTGTTTTTTTTTTCCCAATAAGATTTTCTGTTGTTGTGTTAAAGGATTTTCTGTTAAAGAAGGAGATAGCACTGAAATGTTATTGTTTTATTTCCAAAAAATAGGGTTTAATAATAAAATGAAATTGATTAGACAAATTATTTGAAAGAAGGCGGGAATCACGTGACTACTGTCACAATACTGGACACACCGAAGTGCACACTAGCGCCACCATGCTTTGGCAGTCATGCAACTCGCTGCATGAGTAAGACAAGGATAGGGAAAAAGGTCTGAGTTTCCTATCTTTAGGACGGGTTAATCTGTGGGTGGGGATCAAGATCTACCTGAAAACTACAGGCCAAATAGCCTTATTTACCGGTGCTTTCTAAAATCATTGAAAGATTATAGTCTGGGAGACGACCGCATTTTTCCTACCCCGATCGAGTTATGTGTCGACACTATTATCAATATATATAGTCCGACAAATACCATTTTAAAGTCACGTGATATTGGTGGCAAAAAACGTATGTCCATTGATTATGTCGTTGATATCACCTACAAAAAGCTACTGGTGGTTAATTACTATTGAATTTTAAGATATGTTCCCACTAGCATGTTACAAACGTGTTTCTGAAGTAGTATTGACCAATCAGATAATAATTTTAGTACTTGCAGTTATTGTGAGACTCACTTTTATCGCATCCGCTGTCTGTTGTAATACATTCTGAACTTAAACTGGGTACCCGTTTTCTATTTGCTTCTTTTCGAGTTGGAAAAAGGTTAATTAGTCAAAATTATTAGGCAATTCAAACCACGTGACATTCAAGATGGCGTGGCGGCCACACATGGGCCAAAAAACATAAAAAAATATATAATTTCTGCTCGATTTAATAATTTAGGCACCTAGTCAAAAAATATTTTATTAATTAATCAAAATCAAAGTTGCAAGCAAAACTCTAAGCAAAATAATTTGAAATACGCATGAAAACATATTCAAAACAAAGTTGCTTGGCCGCTACGTCATATTGAATTTTCCTTTTTGACAGATGGATTGAATTGTCTAATTAGCTTATTAATGTGCGTTTTTATTCTCATCGGCGGATTCACCGATGAGTTAGCTATCTTTGTTTAGTGAATGGAAAATGACAATGACCGACATATAATGGTGGATCCATCGGTAAAATTTGATGAGAATAAAAACGCAGGGTTATTTTCGAAAATAACTTTGACAAACTAAATGATGACAGTGACGGATTCTATTTCAGGTAAGAATATTATGAACAATAATTAGACACCAATTTTTTTGTCAATTTTACTATCACCGCTGTTTGAGATGTATTTAACAAGGATAGAGAAAAATCACGTGACTTTAAAATGGTATTTGTTGGACTATAGTATTATGTGCATCTATTCAGTGGCGTAGCCAGGATTTTGTCTTGGGGGGGGGGGCAAATTTGCAGGAAGCGTCTTTTGCGGCCCTACCGCGATCGCTGCCGGAGGCAAAGCGCCGCAGGCGCGAAATTTTTGGGTGCCACGCCCCTTTTTCAGGTTTCTTTACGCTATTTTTGGGACTGTTTATCTTAATTTTGAAGAAATATTCATAAAATTTAAGGGTCTTGAGGGGGGGGCAAATGCCCCCTTGCCCCCCCTTGGCTACGCCAGTGCATCTATTTAACTGTATTCCTGCCTGAGAGCAAATGCTGCCGGAAATATCTTTTTTCTACTACCGTGCGTAAAGTACTCACTTTACGCACTATTCAGAAGATGTAAAATTTCACTTCACGCACTAGTGCGTAAAGTAATTCACTTCACACACTAGTGCGTAAAGTAATGTCAATGACAGATGTCAACACTGTCAATTTGGCATTTTTTTAGTAAATTACTTCACACACTAGTGCGTAAAGTAAAAATTCTTCACGCACTAGTGCGTAAAGTATTTGTCTAAATTTATTTTTTTACACATATTTGATTGGTAGTAGAAAAAATTTTGTATGCAATACGTGCGTAAAGCACCTTTTTTCACTCATGTGATTGTCGCACTCGCCTTCGGCTCGTGCGTCAAAATTCACATTCGTGAAAAAAGGTTCACTTTACACACTTGTTGCATAAATAACTATTAACAAATTATTAACAAATTGAAAAAAACGTAACACTACCCCCATCGAGTTATGCCCTAAGTAGGGTATCAGATTGAAGGTCTCGATGTCCCCTATCTAAAAAGTCGATCCTGCCTCGTGAGAACTTGCCGGAAAAGGGTGGCAGGGAAGCTTATTGGGACAAGGGCCCGCGGTCTCTGCTTTGACACCTATCAAGCTTTGCACTAAATGATGTGTCAAATTAAAGGTGCCAATAAGTTGATTTAAGGTCTGTTCGCACAGAAATCACAAACTAGTCAGAGCGAATTTCATTGGTTGGAAACTGTCAGGAAACTAGTTTCAACCAATGAAATTCACTCCTTCTGGTTTGGGATTTCTGTGCGAAGAGACCTTAAATCAACTTATTAACACCTTTAATTTGACACATCATTCAGGGTAAAACTTGATAGGTGTCAAAGCTGAGACCGCGGGCCCTTGTCCCAATAAGCTCCCCTGCCACCCTTTTCCGGCAAGTTCTCACGAGGCATGATCGACTTTTTAGATAGGGGACATCGAGACCTTCAATCTGATACCCTACTTAGGGCATAACTCGATGGGGGTAGTGTTACGTTTTTTTCAATTTGTTAATAATTTGTTAAAAGATATTTCCGGCAGCATTTGCTCTCAGGCAGAAATACCGGTTAATAGATGCACATAATACTATATATTGATAATAGTGTCGACACATAACTCGATCGGGGTAGGAAAAATGCGGTCGTCTCCCTTACTATTAGTAAAAAAACGCATGAATGCATTTCTCCTTAAGCATAACATTCTTTGGCATAACATATTAAACACTGGACAATATGGGTTTCAAGATGTCGCTGAAGTTAGCAACAGATTCAGAAATAAAAATCATGTTTTTACAGTCGACCAAATAAAATAAATGAAAAAAACTATACTAAAAGATTCTGTAACATCATCAAACTTGGTGGAAATAATACTGGGGGTGAAGTACGTCACATACTAAAAAATCATTTGTACAGGGAGGGGTTAAAGGGGGTAGATTGCGCCCCAAAAATGTAAATGAGATCAGATATCGAAAATTTTGTAGCACCACCGAAGTTGGTGGAAATATTGCTTGAACAGATATGTGTAAAATATCTAAAAAGCACATGTTTATCTCGGGGTTGAAGGGGGGAAATTCAACCCCAAACTGTCAACAAAAAAGATTCTTTATAAAATGAAGTCACATTTTCCCAAAAGAGATTTCCCTCCTAGGTTTTTGTTCAGAAAAGTTTGCAATAATAGTTATTTATGCAGCAAGTGTGTAAAGTGAACCTTTTTTCACGAATGTGAATTTTGACGATGTGTAAAAAAATAGGTTTAGACAAATACTGTCATTGACATTAATTACGCACTAGTGTGTGAAGTGAAATTCACGTCCTTCTGAATAGTGCATAATGTGAGTACTTTACACTCGCTAGTAGGAAAAAATTAATTTTTCTCGTTCAGAATTAGTTTTTGCAACACGTTATGATGCGTCTATAGTTCATCGTATTTTTATTTTAGCCAGTTGATCAGGTATATTTTAGAAAATTTGATTTTAGGTAGAAGAATATTTTTGCAAATCATTACGAATAAACTCAGGTCACTTTGAGAAAAGGGGAAGAAAGGCCTAGAAAGGTCGGTAACTCATTTCCATTTTATGATTTTACTCAAAATTAACAGATGTCGGTAAAGTGGCAGGTAGGTACTTCACCATGGTTAACAGTACGGACATAAGAATATATCTTGTTTAGTCTTGATTGAACAACGTTTCATAGTGTCAACTGAAAGGGTAAAATTTTGGAGTGTTTCATGTTCCACGTCACCACAAGTAAGAATCATGTGGATAATTTTGGCCATTTTTTCGCCGCTATTTGTAGAATATTATTCCAATTGGAGAAAATTGGGTGTAACAAAATTTTTCAAAAAATTTAGTTTTTTTCTTTGACAGATTTGGGTGGGTTGAATTTCCCCCCCTCCACCTCCGAGATCAACATGTGCTTTTTTGATATTTTACTCGTATCCATCCAAGCAATAATTCGATCAACTTTGAAACTGCTACAAAATTTTTCAAGGAAGTTTGGTTTTTTCATCAACCTTTAATACTCTACAAACATTTTTTTTACTCAAAAACTAAAGTGAGTGGAGGGTTCAAATTTTGAGGACTTTTTCGTAAAGATCCAATGTGAAAAATACTAAAAACTCAAAGCGATTGAGTTTATATTAATGGAGTTATGATTTTTTTTAAATAATGATGTTTTGTAAAGTAATACTCTACAAACAATTTTTTCACTCAAAAACTAAAGTGGGTGGAGAGTTGAAATTTTGAAGACTTTTTCCTAAAGATTCAATGTAAAAAATACTCAAAACTCAAAGGGATTGAGTTATTATTAATGGAGTTATGATTTTTTTTAAATAATGATGTTTTGTAAAGTAATACTCTACAAACAATTTTTTCACTCAAAAATTAAAGTGAGTGAAGAGAGACTTTTAAGGCAAAATGTGTATCAATGTCATTTTGAGTAAAAACAAATGACTTTGAGGCATCGTAGCTTCGAAACTATTGAAAAATTACTTGCATGGTAAAAAAAGGACTTTTATATCAACGTGACATTAATTAGCGAAAAAATAAAGGGCCATTATTAACGATTCCGTGTAAGCGATTATCCCGAGAAGTGGGTCATCATTTGCAACTCGTCCTTGTTTGCAAACGAGAGAAAATAAAGGGAAAGTTTATGATGCAATTTTTGTTTCAGGTTCCTTTTTTTTGCCGTTTCAATACAGGACGACTGCTTCTACGAAAACGCTCAATCGTTGCTGTGTAGAAAATTCCTTCCCACAGGCACTTTTCCTAATGTTGAACGGTTAAATGTAACGCAAGTAAAATTGGAAAAGTTAAATTTTCATTATTTCCAGGAAGCATTTCCTAATTTGAAAAGTTTGACTCTTATTGGTGGTAATGTTACTCAACTGAAACAGATTATAATGCCTCAAGGACCTGCTTTAGAAATTACAGTAAGGATTTTATTAATTTAAAAATTTGTTTACAAAAAAATAAATTCTTTAGGTTTTACATTTGTCCGGATTACAAATCACAAGTTTTTGCGACAATTTTACCAACTATTTCCCCAACTTGAAACTTCTAAACGTTTCCGGCAATTACTTAAGCGAATTTCCCAAGTTTTCTTTTGAAAATCTCACAGCAGTTTATTTATCAGGTATTTTCATTCTAGTTTAATAAATAATGCTTAAGCTAAACTTTATGAATGTTCTAGAAAACAAATGGAACTGTTCAAAAAGCTTGGAATGGTCTTTGGACCTAAACAAAACCGTATTCAAAGACTTGGAGTCGCTACGCTGCTTCAAAATGCCCCACAGCAACAAACCTATACTAGCCATAGCCAAGTTTCGAAAAGTAAGCTTCAAGTCAAAATCAACAATAATAAAGTTTCATCAAAATTTAGATTACAAGGGAAACTTGTACGCCCAATTGCACCTGCCAGTTGATCAAGTGCGTCACCGACATGGATTCAGGCGTATTGGAACCGATAATCGAAGTGGATTGTTCGTTTAGGGGCTTCACAGAGATGCCCTCAACGATTCCGCCCAAAACTAAAATTTTGAGGCTCGAAGGGAATTTTATTGACGATCTTAGCCCTTTGAAAACAAACTTCAATTACAGGTAAGAGTTGTTTTATTCTCCTCCTAGTAATTAATCATTATGCTATTTTTTTTAGGGGCCTCTTAGACTTGTTTTTGGACAACAATATCATATCAAATGTAAATATTTTGGAAGGTTCCTATTGGTTGACGCATTTTCGGTATTTTTCGATTAGGGGCAACCAAATAAGCGAAGTAAGTTGAGGTTGATGTTGATACATATTTAGCAATTCTTCTCAGCTTCCAGCCTATGCCATTGATAATGCTCTTCAGCACAACAGCAACATGCCCAACGCTGTTAGACTGATCCTAGGCGAAAATCCTTGGAGGTGCGATTGTCTTTTTGCTCCTAGGTTCAAGGTGAACTTGCCCTAATAATTGGTTTCCTTAAATGCTGAATTGATTGTTTTCTAGACGTTCTTGCAAAAATACGCCTCCCAAGTTATCGATATAAAAGATATAAGGTGCGCCAAGGATTCTGAGCACCCTCTAACACCGGTAAAAATAACACTAATTGTCTCCAATTAAAACTAATTATTATTTTCCAGATAATTGATTTATCTAGAAGCTCGGTTTGTCACTCGCCTTCTGAATACACTATCCAAGAAGCCCTAGATTTGTTAAATGGAATTTTAGCGTTTTTAATTGTTTTTGTACTCAGTAAATTGGCTTATGACTATTATTATTTTAAGAAAACTGGACGATTACCTTGGATTGTCACCAAATTACCTTAATAATCAATTAAATAATACACAAACAAAATTGATTTGTATTTATTTGTTTATTTTGTTCGCCCTAATCTATTTATTTTTACATCAACTCGTGAATAAGTTAAAGAGTAATTTGAAAAATAAGCCAGCGAGATCCATTTCTCATCTTTTTCTTCAGATAAAATTGACTAGAGTTTCAAGAAAATTTCAGGAATGCAATATGTTCAACATTATTTACAATAACTTGTGGGGAAATAATTATTTACACCTTGTTTTTATACAACTAATCCTAGTGTAATAATAACACTATACAATGGCATAATAACAAATATAGGACAATAATCACAGCTTAAATTAAATAGAAATTCTGACAACACTGGCAAATAATTTAGAATACAGACTCGGCGGATCGGCTCAAATGAACTGGATGCGACGGACTCCTTTCCAGTTTCTTTTTGGGCAACTTTCCCAAAATATCGGAAAGTTTTTGAAAATCTGGTCTCTTATCCTCTTTAAATTGCCAACAGAGCATCAAAATATCCTTGACCTCGGCAGAGGCTTGCAAATTAGCCAAAGGTTGTTTGATGCCTTTGCCCACTTGCCAAATGACAGCTTCGGGGGGTTGATTTTTGAAAGGCCACTCGCCGCAAAGAAGCTCGTACCAAACCGTACTGAAAAGGTTTATTTTAGAAAAACGAATAAGTTTTAGGTAAAATTTTACCCAAAAGCGTAAACGTCGGAAAATATTGTAAAGGGCAACTCGTTTTCTTGAAACCTGTGAGCGTCCAGCGCCCGCATTATTGCCGGAGCCAAGTAACACAGCCATCCAGACGGAATGCTTAAGCTTTCAGTCCTAATTTTTAATAAAAATTAGAATGACTCAAACATTTTGACACAAACTCACCTATATCCGAAGCACAGTTTCGTAACGCTAAACAAACCGAAATCAGTTATCACAACTTTTCCATTTTCCAGGAAAATATTTTTCGTTTTTAGGTCTTTGTGGACAATACCTTTTGCGTGCAAATAGCCCATACCCTATAAAATAAAGATCTATAGGAACTATTTTGCTGAGAAAAATCATCAAGTTGTTTTACAAGGACCAATGTTTAACTTGTATGAAAATATTTCCCACCCCTCACAATCAGAGAAGTCAATATTTAAAGTAAATTTTACCTCAAGTAGATATAAGTAGGTACTTTAAGGGCCGATACTTTTGCTCCCGATTAACGAATTTGATACGTTGTCAAAGTTTTGCATGGGCCAAGGTGTATAAATTTGATGTGGTTAGAGCACATTCTAACCCCTGATTATTTTTAACGGCGTCAAATGAGAGCAAAAGTACCGGCACTAAGAACCGGTACTTTTGCTCTCATTCGACAGCCCTTAAAAATAATCAGGGCTTTGAATGTGCTCTAACCACATCATACTTATATAGACCTTGGTCCATGCAAAACTTTGACAACATATCAAATTCGTTAATCGAGAGCAAAATTATCGGCCCTAAATATATTTCTTAGGGCCGATACTTTTGCTCTCGATTAACGAATTTGATACGCTGTCAAAGTTTTGCATGGGTCAAGAGGTCTATAGGTATGATGTGGTTAGAGCACATTCTAACCCCTGATTATTTTTAATGGCTGTCAAATGAGAGCAAAAGTACCGGCACTTAAACTACTTTTTTTGTTATGTACAGGGTGGCCCAAATTCGAGCCTCATCATTGGGATAAAAAACCATAAGAGGTACAAGGTCGGTTGAATTATTGCAGAGTTGCGCAATTTTATGACCAATAGAATGCTGTTTTGAAATTAGCAAGATTCTGAATACTTCCGGAGATATTGGGAAAAAACCGAAATTTTGTAAAACCGTTTTTATTTTTTCCCGGTCTTATTTGAAGAGCAATTTCAAAATAAATGCCACTTCATCGTTGTCACTTTTTCCCCTTTAGAAGATGGTGCTACTAAATTTAAAATCCGACGTTTCGTCTTCAGGCGGCCATCCTCAACTTCCTTTTTTTTAAATACGGACCTGGATTTTTTATTTGCGATTTTGTCATCTTTGGGCAAACCGATACTGTTTATAATTTTTCAATAACACAGTAAAAAAAGCAGGTCCGTATTTAAAAAATAAATAAATTGATGATGATTTATTTCAGAGGAACGAAACGTTGGATTCCAAATTTAATACCGTTATTTTGTAGAGAAGAAAAAGTGATAATGGGAATGTGAAATTAGTTTTTCAAAATCTTTTAACTTTGCCATAATTCAACCGACCCTGTATCTCTTATGGTTTCCGAGATCCCAATGATGAGGCTCAAATTTGGCCCACCCTGTACATACTTGTGTCAACTCTGCTTACATATAAAAAGTACGATAATATTACCTGACAAATTTGCTGACCCATCATCGTAGTCTTGTTAATATTAAACTTATCCTTCCTCAAGTGAATATGAGTGAACAATGTATTGCCCTTACTAAAACTAGTCACGATGGCCAATTTGGGCGGTTTCATGCAAGCGCCCATGAACAGTATTAAGTTGTCGTGGCGCGTCTTACGAAAAATTGCCACTTCCATTTTGAACTGTTCCAGCGTTTTATCATCTTTGACGTTCAACAGTTTCACTGCCACGTCGCCGTGCCAGTAACCGCGAAACACTGTGCCAAAACGACCTGTACCAACTTCTTTGAACATTTTCAGTTCATCATATGGAATGTCCCATTCTTTCAATGATAACTATAATAAAAATAAATGAGTTATAGATTCACACACAAAAAAAAAAAAAAAAAACACTTACACTATTTTGTCTTGCCATATGAACATCAGTCAGTGTATCAGTATCAGACACTTGACTGTCTTGCGAATCTAGCCTAACAGGTGTCCGATCCGAATCCGAACTGTTACTGTTTGAGGCTTGACTTACAGTCTTTTCACTTTCCCTGGACGATTGACTGCTGACAATTTCGTGATGTCTTGGCGATGAAACGGCCGGTAAAGGGTGAGTTTCCAGGGTGACTTCTTTGATCGGTTCACTGCTACTTTGAACGTCTGGAAAATGAAACTGCCTTTGGTTGCTGTGTGGCGTAGTGTGCACTGCTGGACTGGATGGGGTGGAGCTGTTGCAGCTCGATGTGTTTGAACTGCTGTCTAGAGGCTGCTGAAAAGTTTGGTTACCTATTAGTACTTAATGGAAAAACACTATAGCAAGTAATTCTTACAGGAAACTGTGTATTGTTAAAAGTAGTAGAAGGATGTGAGCCTTTTCTGAGTCCTACTCTTGCCAGCGAATTGACTATACTATTTGACTTTCTTGTACGTCCACTTGTAGGTGAATAACAAATACTACCTGAAAATAATTGAAAATAAGAATTATAATATTTTTTTTTTTGGAATTTGTACTACCTTGATTGCCTTCATAGTTTTCAATAAAAGCTGTAAGGTAACCGTGTGGTAACCCACAAGAAGGTGGTACCTTTTCCTGACAATCTCTATGGCAGCAATACTTGCACTCTCGACATTTCATCACTTTGCCGAATATCTTTTGACCACACATGTCGCAAATCGCGGTCAGTTTAATGGTCATTTGAAACCTGTGGGCGATTTGGTGTGTCATGCTACCCTTCATTGGAGGCGTTTGGGGTGATTTGGGCACTTGCAGCCTCATTGATTTGTTGCTGGAATCGTCGCTGTCATTACCAATAGAGTTGTAGGATGAAGGTGGTGATTTTATAGGACTTGTCAATACGGGGCTGGTAAAACCTGTGGTTTCTGGACCGGGTTCAGTGGGCAATCGGCCTCTTCTTGTTCCGTTTCTAGTTTCACTGAAAATTGATGTTAGTTAGGTTTAAGAAGGATTATTGATTAAAGACTCACTTTATATTACTGACATCTCCATTACTTTTGCCCTTGGTTTCAGCAAGTTGAGACTCGTGAGATTTGCTTTTGGTTAAAGGAAAGGAATCGGTCAACAGTCCAGCATTTGTGACCAGCTGTTTTCTTTTAGCAGGAGGAGTTGTAGGGAATTTTTTCTCTAAAAATAATATTGTATTATCAATTATCAATAATTATTGCTTTATGGTTCAAAATCTATGAAAAAAGGCACGCAGAAAATTGAAAACTTGATAAATCACCCCAAATCGCTTAACGCAATTCTATTTCTGGAACCCCAAGTCCAAATGAGCTGAAATTTTCAGGGATTGTAGTTCTCCACTGGGATAAGAATCGTTAAAAATTTCAGCTTTCTCTCTATAATAGAAAAAAAGTTATGGGTTTTCAAACTTTTCAAACAAAATCCAAATCATAAGGTGGGAGTTTGAGGGGTTGTAACCTTTCAGGGTCCTTATTCTTGAAACAGGGGAGCAGCGTTACCAGGAGAACGAGTGTTTCGTCTTTCTCAATGATATGCAACTGAAGCAACAAAGACGAAACACTCGTTCTCCTGGGAACGCTGCTCCCCTGTTTCAAGAATAAGGACCCAGATAATACCTACAACTTTCACATTAGTTCTTTTCACGTGGCTCCGGTTTAACTAACCGGGTTACAAAACGGTTAGAGAAATGACATACCGTTTTCTAACCCGGTTACAAAATGACGTGATGGATACCTACCACTCGAATTTGAGTGGTATGTTGTGGTTTGTTGAACCAGAGCCACGTGAAAAGGGTTATTTGATATCTCTTCAAACAGGTGAGATAGGTGTGGGTGTAAAATATAGACAATCATCCAATAGACCTATCTATTTTTACCTAGCATGCGCGCGCAACACGAGGCAATGCATTTCTATTGGCTAACTAGTACAGGTGAGAGGTGTTCGTTTTACACGCTGGACATCTGTTTGTCCTTGTTCATTGCCCGTGGTCTGACAAGAATAAAAGTACGGTTGATATTGTGACGGAACTAGCTATTACCCTTTTGTGGACTCTAGTCATTACCGCACCAGGGATGTCAAAAGTTTTTACTTTGACTGACTGTAAAAATTAACCATTAGGTGTTGGATCATTTAAGCCTTGTATTGAACTAGGGGTGCCTTGATTCTCATTTATACAAATAAAACGCTGAAATAGAATAGTTATCAATTTAATTAATAAATGAAGTTAATTCGGTTTAATCAGCAATCAAATCCTATCTAATAATTCCTATTTGGACGTCCAGTCGAACTACAAATTTTATACTAATCTAAAGTAAATAAGCGAGTAAATAAGTATCTTGATTTATAAAAATAGTGAAATTTCATAATAATAATATCAATTATGGTTAAATGTTCAATGAACGAGAACACAAATTAACTAATTAGATTTACAAGAGCACAACACAAATAATTCGTGAACTTCAATCAGCTCACTGTATTCACAAAATGTTTATAATCCTTGAAAGTTCTTTTGTTTATTGAGAGTTAATAATTTGAGCACTTTTCTGCTGAAGTGTGTAAACAATAAGTGCAAGAAAAGTCTATATATATATGCTCAGTTTCTATATACAAATTTACAAATTAATGTTCATTTCACGAGTGTGAAAACCAAATTTCTGTATTAAAGGTTAGAACAAACACTTCAATTTATAGTGCATTTCAACCGAATCAGTATTCAGTATTTATTAATTTATTGTTCGACTGTTTTGAGAAATTGAAACGGTCTTACTTGCTTAATCCAGTTCATACCGGTAAATCCATATAGTGATTATTTATCCATTTATCACTATTCGTAGTAATTTGCACTGTCAGCTAAGGGATTTTCCACTAAGAGAGAGAACACAATGATATACAGAGTTGAAGCCCGTCGAGAGTGAGACAGGAATAACCTTAAACAGGCGTAGTAGAGAATTTTGCTAGGTCCGAGATGACTTGCAACAATTTAGGGGTTAATTACATGAATTGTAATCAATAATATCGTTGATAATATAGGCCATGTCAGGCCTTGAGACACTGGGAGTAGTATTTTACTATAATTCGCGTACTAACGGGGGTTTTCTGGGGGTTTTTTTCCTCTGTAGAGCGTTCAGAGGCGAGAGGGTGCAGAGTCTTTGCTTACTCTTCTGCTTCTTGATTACTACTGTTGTGTACCGTGCCGTGCGTCGAGTCGACTGCCTTTTTCGGAGCAGGTCGCATAAATCAGGGATGTTGGGTGGCAACTGACCAATCACAACAACAAAATAGATCCATTGCTCATAGGGTAATGAAGAAATCTGTAATTTTACCGATTCAAAAGGGCTGCTGTTGCCAGTTTTACAGGAATCTTTTTTTAGAATATTATTTTTATGATAAATAATAGAAATTGATTATATTGATAAACTACAAATAATAACATTTTAAACTTGTTGTGGGTTATTTCCGCAACAGATATTCAACTTGACATAACTTGAAAAGTGACATGCAAAAATTGTTTGACATTTTCATTGACAAATACGTTGAACAACATGCAGCGTTTCTCTTTCCCTTTTTATCCCGTGCAAATAAGAAGAAAGGATTGCTATACGTAAGTCTAACATAATTTGGTACGTTTTGCCTCGTCTTGCGCAATGAGCGTTCTGTGTCTTTTTTCATCTAATGAAGTTTTCGTATTATTGTCTCTTTGTCTGGTAAAATAGATAGGTCTATTAGACTATCCAAGATGCTGTCAAACTTAAATAAAAATGTCCGCCAAGAGGCACACAAACTTTTGCTTGTCAAAACTCAAAAGTCACGCATTTTGGATAGGCGACTAAAGCCTAGTAGTCCTAACAGCGAAATTCACTTTTTTTTAACATTGCTTTGACAATTTGACGTTTTATGTGAGAATCAAACATCAAATTGTTGTAGCAATGTCAAAAAAAAGTGAAATTCGCAGTTATGAGTACTAGGCTTAATCAAGGTGCTGTCAAACTCATATTCAATTCAATTCAATTCTTTATTGTTTCTAATGAAAATTAACTCATATAACAAGAAAGTTAAGTCTTACAGTTTTTTTTCAAATTATACCTACAACTAAATCCCAATCAAGAGCCACCCCTTTATACTTAAAAATAAATAATAATTAATAATATCAATTAAATAAGAAAGAAAAAATAACATACGCTACCCATTTACTTGAGAAAGAATAAATAAATAAATAAAATTAAATGTTTAAGGATCAAGAGAAGAGGGCAAATACCTAACTTAAGAGAAAAAGAAAAAAAAAAAAAAAAAGGAGAAGAAAAGGAGAAACAAAAAATAAAAAATCAAGAAAGCAGTGGTCTTGCATTTCCCACCGTTATTCAAACATTATAAATGCTCGCATAATTAGCACGTTCATTAAAAAGCGACATAGAACTTTTGCTGGTTTTTCACTGATTGGTTTGTTGAGAAAGTTTATAAAATCTTCATTGGTTTTAAATAAATCTGTTTTTGTCGGCGATCTGTAGCATTGATATATAGGACACTCCACTATAATATGCATTATTGTTTCGAGCTTTCCCAAGTTGCAAATTGTACAATATTTTTTTTGGTCAATTTTATAGGCAATTTTGTTAAAGTAGAATGATATCTGATACTTTGAGGCCAACCTCACGTTGCTCAACATCCTTGTGTAACAAATATTGAGTTTTTTATGTAGGTATGACTGTGGCCCAGGCCCTGTTATGAAAAAACTATAGAATTGTGGGTAATTGGATTCTTGTAAAGAATGGATATCGAGATGATGCAAAAAACTAGAGTATGCCTCAAGCACTGAAGACTTTGACCTTTTTAAATACGTTAATGTCAAGTTGTCCCAAACATGGGATTTATTTATTGTGTAAAAAATTAATTTGACATCAGCTACCCAGTTGTATTTATTAGCCTCATGTTGAAACGTTAGAAGTTTTTCGAAACATAAACGCGGGTACCTTGAAGGCTCCATTGATAGGAGTTTTTCAATCCAAGAGATACACAATTTAAAGACAACATACTTTAATGGTAGTCTTCCCGTTTCAAGACGTACCAACCAACCCGGCGTAGACCTAGGCAAGTATAGCAAGCTTTTAAAAAAATCAGTTTGGATTTTTTCTACTATGTCAGTGTAACGTAATGCCCAAATTGGCATGCAATGAGAGAATGAGTTAACGACAAGTGATTCAAACAGTTTTAGACGGGCGTCCCAAGAGTTTATTTTAGTCTTACACATTATGTCAGTTGTCACTCCTATAGCTCGCTTAGCCTTTTGTGCTGCCAAGTTTGCCATTTCACGGAAAAGGGCCGAACTAGAGAATTGTACTCCCAAGTACTCAAAATTATTAACCGTTTCAATAGGTTCACCAAAAAGGCTAAACCGACCACCCGGCTGACCAGCTCTTTTCGCAAAACGCACTATTTTGGTTTTTGATGTGTTTACTGTCAAAGAGTTATCTGCAACGTATTCTTCAAGAATTTTAAGTTTACGTGCCAAGTCGTACTCCGAATTGCCCAGCAGTACTATATCGTCAGCGTACAACAACACTATGACATCCAAGAGATGGTTAATAGAGATACCCGTGGCTCCTTTACTTCTAAAAAAGTCTTCTATGTCCGAAACAAACAAAGCAAACAGAATAGGGCTTAAGATTTCACCCTGCAATAAACCTTCATTTATAGGGTATTCTTTTGTAAACTTGTACTCGGACTTAATTTTAAAGGAAGCATTTTGATACAGATTTTTAAGTATACGTACAAATTTTGAACTGATCCCCAGAGAGTACAGTTTACGCCACAATAAGCTATGATTGACCGAGTCGAAGGCCCGCTTAAAATCAATGAATGCTGCAAAGACCTTTCCTCCGCAGCGTAGTTGAAGGTGAATTAAAGATGTAAGCACAAAAACATTATCTGCACAGCCTCTTTTTTTCCTAAAACCCGCCTGGGTCTCCGGAATAGCTTCTGCGTGATTGCACCATATCTCTAGCCTGGATGAGAGGATCTGAGTGAATATCTTCGTAAGTGCATTAATTAGGGCAATTCCTCTATAGTTCTCTGGCAGTTGGGAGGGACCCTTCTTATGTAACATGAATATAATAACTTTTGACCAGTCTTCTGGAAGAGATTCCATTTCAAGTATTTTATTAAATAAACAATTAATGTAAAGAAGCCAGTTTTGGGGAAGATTTTGGTAAAATTCATAGCACAGACCATCTGCCCCGGGTGCTTTAGCACTTTTACATAAGCTGAGAGCAACTTTTAACTCACTGAATGATATTTCGAGGTCTAGCATAGGGCATCTGGCATCAAAGAACATACTGGGGTCCACAGTAATTTCTATTTTACTGTTTATTATGTCATAGAATTGTTCCCATTGATTAACTGATAGAGTTTTTTGACTATTTTTGGTGATTTTATAGCGTTTTACTGTAGCCCAAAATTCTTTTTGATTTTGAACCCTGCTTAGGATAGTTGTTATTTCTTTTTCATGTTCGAACTTTTTTTGCTTTACTGTTTTGTTGTAATTTTGTTTACTCGTTAGGTAATTTAATAGAAAGGGCTGTTTGAAGTTATTATCTTTGCAGATTTTAAGGTTGGCGCTTACCTCCTTTTTAAGATTTAGGCATTGAAGGTCGAACCATACGGCCGAAGGGTTTTTTTTACTTTGAGAATACGTCAAACTCATATTAAAATCTTAAAATGTTCGCCAAGCCAAGAGGTACACAAAACCTTTGTTTGTTTGTCAAAGTCACGTGTTTTGGATAGGCTAGACTACTAAGTACAGGGTGATCCAATTTGGATACATTAAATAGACAACAACAACTTCTGAGTTACAGAAAAATGAACCTCTCAAATTCCATGAAATCTTCATTAGTGCAGACCACATTTTGATATTTTGAACCATTTTCCAATTTTGAATAATACTGAGTCTGTTCTCACAAAAATCACAAAACAGTAAGAGCAAATTTCATTGATTGAAAATAATTAAAATAAGTGTTTGTTGGCGATTTGCACCAATCAAAAACACTTTTGACTGTTTTGTGTTCTCTGTGTGAACAGACCTAGAGATGTATAAGTATGTACTATAACTATAAACCGTGCGATCGAGTAATCGATTCCTTCGAAAACGGCGGATAAAACTTATATAGGCGGATAGAAAACATCGAGGCGAATTCGGAAACATCACTAAAAAAATTCCATGGCCAACTTAGCCACCTGTCAATGTCAAATTTTTGACAGGCGGAAGGAATTTCAAAAAAGGGCTTCACAAAGCACAAGATTTCTTTAAGGCGTTTTGGAAACACCAGGCGAAATTTTGATGACAGCTGTCATGCGACCGGAATTTGTTTATATTGGGTAAACGGCCTTTCCCCACGCTTTACCTTACATGGTGGAAACCTCAAACTCGGTGGGTTATGTTTATTCAACTTGGCCGACCTGTCGGTGTCTAAAAATTTTGACAGCTGTCAACGTCAAAAAAGTTATTTTTGCAATTCTCGGAAAAATAAAAATCTGAGTATCGGAAAAGTTTCCCCAGACCCAAAAGCCCCTTAAAAAAAATTGACATTGACATACGTCAAAAACTAACGGCGTGACAAGGAGAAACGTCATCTTTGACATACGTCAAATTTCGAAGATGCGTTCGGATAGAACTTTTGTATAGGTAAATTGAAGGTTAAGTATGAACCCTGGTGAAACGAACCTTACTTATTAAACAGAAAAGTTTATCAATGGCTGAGTTCGTTTTTGTCGTCTTTTTCGTTGATTTGCTCCGAAATTTTGACAGTAAACAACTGTCTTATTCAGTCACGTGCCTGTCAAAATTTCGGAGCAAAACGACGAAAAAGATGACAAAAACGAACTCGGCCATTATAATGTTTAGAGCATTGACTGTTGTTTTTTCATGTTTATGTCAACAACAACATAACTTTACATTCTAAATCAATACAATACATTTTAAGACAAGATTTAAAAATTTCTAAATTGATGTGTGTGTATTTACCTTTTCCACGTTCTTTAGGCAAACTGAACACACTAGTACCAAACTCTGGTGGTCCTAAAACTGCACTACTAGCATTCAAAGAATTAATACTGGAAACAGAAGGACTGGGCGCAATTGTAGCCCCAGTTTTATGATTGTTGTTGTACAGGTTTTCTTCAGAGGGCACCGACGCTCTTGTGGCACGCGTCCTAGTCGCTCTAGGCGACAGCCCATGCTTTATTTTCAAATAATTGCGATCCCAAGAGTCCCAGGACAGGTGTGAGTCTTGGGTCTCGTAGCTGGACTGGTCTCCACGTTTCAAGACGTCAGTGTATCTTTTTAGATTGTGTAGAGCTCGAGACAGTCTGGATAATTCTTCGGTGGTGCTTTGTTTGTCACCCAGTATTGTTCGGATTTCATGTTCAGTTTTTTCTTGTAATTCTTCTACCTGAAATTAATTGATTTAGGAAATTTCTCCAAGAATTTGATACAGAATTCTTATTAGTGGTGACTTACTGAGGATATTCTTTGAGACAGAGCTGAAACTGAAGCAGTTTCCAGACCGACAATTTGAAGCCATTGTTTCAAATAGGGAGTGTGGATTCCTGAGATGATTTTCAATTTGGATTTTGTTACTAGTTGTTGAGAAAATAGCTTGATTAACTTGCCCTAAAACAAAAACATCTTTAGCTGCTTTGTCACGAGTGTGTGAAACAAAGTGAAAGTGAAGACTACGAGACAATGTCAAGGGCAATATCTATTATATGAATATTGAAAATTGAGCCAAGTTTTACCTCTAGAGTCCGAATTTCTTGTCGCGTGAGCTCCGCACTGGTTACGCATTGTGTCCTGAGCCCCTCTAAAGTTGTAGCAGAAACATCAATCATCGATTGCAAAATTTCCAACTCTTTCTTCAGTGTCTCGTCGCCGGGTTCATTAGCCATCACCATGTATCACAGTAGTGATTATTTACGCTATAAACATCCTAGTCGTTGAGGTTTTATACATTTTTCTTGCCTAAATTTGCTATTTATTGTGTATTTTTATGGGCGAGCTTGTTATTTTATTGGACTTTTCTTTTCGAGTGAGAACAAAATCAAAGTGACAGGTTGCTGTCGTTGTTGATAGACAGAAGAATGGCTTATCGATACAATGTAGGTATACATATACATCGATACACCCTCCATGAAGATGTATAAGTAGGTATCGATAAATTGAAATCTTAGTTATTACTTTATTAGGTTTGTGGAAATTGGTTGAAATTTAACGGAGCTGTAAGGTCAAAACTGTCTACTCTAAGTATTATTTTTGGAAAATTTTCAATGTTCGATAATAGGGAATTTTCATAAGAAATAAATATGGCTTATTTTGTTTTTATGGTGCACATTTTTGTGTAAAATATTGAATATGAGCAGTTTTGTATTAAATTTATGGATATTATAGTCATATGGCAATTATTAGTTTTAAATTGAAAAGTTTCGCGCGGAAAAGTTACGTTTAACATGGCCGCTTCCAGTGACGTCAACTGTTCGTAATTTGAGGTTAAGGGTAGTTTACTGTGGCGGATGTCCGCCCCAGATCCGTTGGCAACCATGCAAATGAAGCGGCAACGCGGTACACCAGCGGTAGGAACGTCAACTGTCTCCGAGTCCCGGCCAGCGGATGACTGACACAAGTCCGACGCCCGCTCGAATAATAAAAACAACACGCCCGAACAATTTCTATTTTTTCATTTTTACCGATGTTTTATTTTTGTATTTGGCATAAATAAACAGTAGATTAATTAAGTTGATCAGTGCGCCTTATTTGCCCGCCGCAAACCGGCCACAGTGGTGACCCCGACAAACGCGTGAGTGCGACGTGCTACCATCCAAAGAACCTTGACTCTTGACCGCGTGTGCAGTGCCCCAAAATTCACACCCACACGGCCCTCGTCTAACACGGCCAACGACGACGCCATGGACCCAACCGACGATCAGACCATAATCGCCCGTGTAGGGATCAAAGCGCCAGAATTTTGGTGCGCCGAACCAGAACTATGGTTCCTTCGACTCGAAGCACAGTTTCGGCAAGCAAAGATAACAACAGACAACTGTAAGTTTGACCACACGGTGACTAGTTTAAACAGCGAGGTCCTATCAGAGGTAGCCGACATAATACGAAACCCAACTGGAGGTACTTCTTATGAAGATCTAAAAACCCGCCTTCTCGAAAGATACGGTACTAGTGCTGATGAAAGAACCCGCCGACTGCTGGAGATAACCTTGGGTGATTTCAAGCCGACCCAGCTTCTCCATCGCATGCAAGCCCTAGCCACCACCAATGTAAGTACAGAGGTACTGAAAAATCTGTGGCTCGACCGCCTACCGCCCCAAGTCCGAGGGGTAATATCCGTCCTGGATGGAGACCTAGAAGAGCTGGCGAAGAAGGCTGACAAGTTCATACGCAATAACAGCCTTCCAGTTATGTCTATTGAGGAGAAGCCCACCTTAGAGAAAACTGTAGCTGAACTAGGCGACCAGATAAGAGCTCTGTCTGCGAAATTAAGTGTCGACGAGAAATCGCAGGAACCTCGACCTGCCCGAACAACCAACACTGCAGTCGCTGATGGGCAGTGCTATTACCACCGAAGGTTTGGCCCGCAAGCCAAGAAGTGCAGACCCCCATGCACTTATTCAAAAAACGACCAGGGGGCGCAGTAGTGGCGACAACCGTGGCCTCCCATAGACACCGTCGCCTGTTCGTGACAGATAAACTGCTCCAACTCCAGTTCTTCATCGACACCGGAGCTGACCTAAGTGTGCTGCCACGTAAGATCTGCACCGCTACACAACCAAGCACTATCAGCCTGTACTCCGCCACTGGTTCCCGTATCAGAACGTATGGGCATAAGCAATTGGAGTTGAACCTCGGTCTTGGCCAACCGGTCACGTGGACCTTTGTAGTTGCAGACGTCACCACCGCCATCCTAGGCGCTGACTTTCTCACACAACATGGCATCACCGTAGACATGCGCAGAAAGCGCCTTGTTAGTCCCACCGCTCCGAGCAGCATTGCATGTGTGTCCCGAACAGTGAAGGAGCCGGAAGTGGGGCTATCGACGGCCCACCCCTACGATCGCTCACTGGCATGTCTGATAATCCTGGAAAAGTCCAGCACTACATTGATACCCAAGGATCCCCGGTATTCTCCAAACCACGTAGGCTCCCGCCAGACCGCCTACAAGCCGCACGAGCCGAGTTCAACGACATGATGCAAGCACACATAGTTCAGCCATCAAAATCTCCATGGGCCAGCCCACTTCACATGGTACAAAAAGCCAACGGCCAGTGGCGTGCTTGCGGAGATTTCCGCCGACTGAACGCCATTACCAAACCTGATCGCTACCCAGTGCCACATATTCAGGATTTCGCCAACCAGCTACATGGCAAGAAAATCTTTTCGACCATTGACCTCATACGTGCTTTTTACCAGATCCCAGTCCGCCCTAGAGATGTACAGAAAACGGCTGTGATCACGCCCTTTGGCCTGTACGAATTTCTAAAGATGCCCTTTGGCTCACGAAACGCCGCCCAGACACTGCAGCGCTACCTCGACCACCTCTTCCGAGGGTGCCCCTTTGTTTACATTTACATCGACGACATCCTGGTAGCCTCCACGACGGAAGCTGAACACGAACAGCACCTGGCATCAGTCCTACGGATCCTAAAAGAGAACGGGCTTCAAATCAACCTGGAGAAATCTAAATTCCGGACCCGTGAAGCCCATTTTCTGGGCGTCATTGTCTCTCCGACTGGTGTCAGACCTTTGCCGGCTAAAGTCAGTGCCATCCGAGACTTTCCACAACCCACAACGTACAAACAGCTACGCCGCTTCATGGGAATGGTCAATTTTTACCGACGCTGGTTACCAAGCGCTGCAACCGAGCTCATGCCACTAACCGAGCTATTGGCCCATCAGAAAAAAAAGCAACAAGACCTCAGCTTGACCCCAGCAGCAGCAGCTGCCTTCTCCAGAGTTAAAGAACTCTTGGCCACCGCTGCAGAGTTGGTCTTCCCAGCACCACAGGCCCAGTTAAGCATGTCAGTCGACGCCTCCGACACCGCAATTGGTGGTGTACTGCAACAACTGGTCGACGAACACCTACAACCCATAGCCTTTTTCTCACAAAAGCTATCCGTAACACAGCGAAATTACAGTACCTACGACCGTGAGCTGTTGGCCATATTCAGTGGCATCCACCATTTCCGCCATTTTCTCGAGGGCACTCAGTTCACAATCTACACTGACCATAAGCCTTTGACATACGCCTTCCAGCAGCGTCACGACCGCCAGTCCCCACGACAAATTCGGCAGCTCGAATTTATTGGCCAATTTTCCACCGACATCCGACACGTCCAAGGTGCAGCAAACATTGTCGCTGATTGTCTCTCGCGACCTGAGGTAGACGCCCTCGCAGCGCCTATAACCATCGACTTTGACAGGCTCGCTGAAGCCCAAACTACAGACGAGAGCCTACAACAGATCCTACATGATCCTGCCAGCTCCCTACACCTCCAACGCATCATCACATCAGACACCGAACGACCTCTCTACTGTTCAGTTCAAGATGGGCGCCTTAAGGTGTATGTACCAGCCGGTTTTCAGAGGGACGTTTTCCGCAAATTCTACAACCAGTCGCACCCAGGGCATGCTGCTACACTCCGACTGATCGCAGACCGATTTGTGTGACCAAGTTAAGGAATGGTCACGAGAGTGCATCCAATGCCAACGTGCCAAGGTAGGACGCCACACAGTCACTCCTGTAGCACCACTAGGAATGCCCGATGACCGTTTTGCCCACATACACATCGACATAGTAGGACCACTCCCACCAAGCCACAACTTCCGATACCTACTCACCATTATCGACCGATTTACAAGGTGGCCCGAGGCCATCCCTATCCTGGAAATGACTGCCGAAGTAGTGGTAGAAAAACTTCTCGAAATATGGATATCCCGTTTTGGTGTGCCAGCAACCATAACCACCGACCGAGGCCGACAATTTGAGAGCCAGTTGTTCCGCCAGCTCAACACAACGCTTGGGGTGCAGCACATCAAGACGACTGCCTACCACCCACAATCAAATGGGTGTATTGAACGGTTCCACCGAACCCTCAAAGCCGCCCTCATCGCCACCGACGTGGTATCCTGGACCGAAGCCCTCCCCCTGGTCATGTTAAGCCTACGCAATACCTTCAAGCAGGACATTTCTTGTACAGCTTCTGAGTTGGTGTATGGTACACCAGTTCGCCTTCCTGGACAACTGCTAGCTCCGAGTGCTGTCGCACCCGACGAACATCGATTTGTCCAACGACTTCGTGAAATTATGGGGGCATTACGGCCAGTTCCAACAAGCAACCACTCAACCCGCACAGCCTATATCCACCCAGACTTGTCGACAGCAACGCATGTATTCATACGTACCGACAAAGTCAAGCCGCCGCTAACAGCCCCCTACAGTGGCCCGTTCAGAGTACTGGAACGTCACGAGAAATTCTTGACAGTGGACGTCCAGAATGCCCCGCAGCGAGTCTCGATGGACCGACTCAAACCAGCATACGTTCCAGCGTCTCATCAGGTGTTAGAAGAACATGCATATGCCAACCGCCTGCTCCTCAACACGTGCCAACAGAACCGTTCGCAACCAGAGGGTCCCTCACTGGGGGGGAGCCCTGTGGCGGATGTCCGCCCCAGATCCGTTGGCAACCATGCAAATGGAGCGGCAACGCGGTACACCAGCGGTAGGAACGTCAACTGTCTCCGAGTCCCGGCCAGCGGATGACTGACACAAGTCCGACGCCCGCTCGAATAATAAAAACAACACGCCCGAACAATTTCTATTTTTTCATTTTTACCGATGTTTTATTTTTGTATTTGGCATAAATAAACAGTAGATTAATTAAGTTGATCAGTGCGCCTTATTTGCCCGCCGCAAACCGGCCACATTACACTGATCGTAAATCTACGGTCCACACTTTCGTGGTTCACTCTTGAATCGTGGAACGATTGGTCCACGATCAGCTCACGTCACGCCACGACTAATATTGAACCACCATAAACGGGTATATTGAGGGAAGATTGTCAGACTGCGCTTTTGTGAATCCTGTATCAACCATGATGAACTATTTGAATTACAAGATGTCACAATATGGCACTAAATACGGAAATACCTCATAAATAACCGCTTTCAAGTTTCAATGCAGTCGCAGGTTCAAGCTGAGCAATTCTTTCCGACAGTTTGCAAAGTGTCAAAGGCTCTTGTGAGAACAGACCTTAACGTTGTGTTTACAGACAGTTGACGTCACAAATGCCACCATATTGAAGCTAATCGTTTTCGCGCCAACGAAAATAATTTGAAATTCAAAAGAATTTTTTTATTTCAATGAGGACATAAAACAAAAAAAAAACATATATATTTTATATTTGAAAACATAAGCAAAAAGAAAAAAAAATACTTTGAAAAATATGATTGTTTCCTATTCAATTTTGAAGCTCCTCAGGCGTAAAACTGTTAAAAATAAATATAAATCTTAATTAATAGGTTTGTAGAGAATTTAATTAGCTTTAATTAGAGTTTAATTACATTGAAATCGAATAGAAATTAACCAGGGGCGTAGTCACGGGTGTTCCGCGTGTTCCACGGAACACGGGCCCGGTAGCTCAAGGGGCCCGGTTCTACATGTCAATATTATTTTTTCTCCTATTATGAAGAAGAAGATTTGATGCTAATTTATATTAAAAAAAAAAATCATGTGTAGCATCGTACACATGTTAAGAAGTGATTCTTCTTGAAAACTATTATACAACTTTTAGACTTGAGAGTATGAGTCAGGGTAAAGCACTGATCGGGTAAAGACGAAATACTACACAAACATCTTCAGCGACGTCCCAAACGTTTTGGCGCTTGACAATAAGGCAATCCTCTTTACCTAGAATCCTTGGTTTGTGTCAATCGTTCGTCGGCTGTCATTGGCTATCTTTCTTTGTCTCTCTACATTATATCATATCATTCTTCTCTCTCGTCTATCGTGTAATGAAATTTGCCAAAACATGACGTTACGTGACATTTCTTTCAAATAAATCTCCATTTTCGACCAATATCAGACCGCCGCCAAAGCATAACTCGAGTTAAAATCAACCTGGAAGTGACTTTCTATTGAGAAACTGACCCTAAGGAGTTTCACTTTTTGATTTGACTTATGATTTCTTCTATTCTTTTATAAAAACTTTCCGATGTTTTACCGCTTGTCGCGTGTCGCATATCTTCAATATTCATTGGTACGGCCGACCACTCCATAATATGCCAGGATTGCTATCAGGTATGCCAACTTAAGATCTTGCAATCCCTGCATTGCGCCTAGTTTTGCTCAAGGTTGTTTGAGAGAAGTGTCTGTAATCATTTCAAAAAATCGAATGTCTGTGAAACCAAATTTCAGGATTCATTAATACCATGAAAAAAAAACTTTAAAAAATCCTTGTTCTTCCAGAACAAACCGCATCCCGTTATCTTTTCTCGTTTTCGAGTTATTCACCTGTAAAATGTGTCAGTTTATCTAAGGACACCCTGTATTTGAAATACTATTTACCAGTATTTGTTACAGCTCTGTCAACTGGTAAGTGTCTACCTAGCAGGTACTTTCTATTATCTACCTAGAGTATAGAAAGTACCTGCTAGGTAACAACCAGACGTTTACCAGTCAGTCCATAATTTGGCCCTTAGTTCGATGACCTAATTACTTTCTCCAATGACCACCTCACAAAGCACAAAGCATATTTTTCACAATTTTTTATTACTGTTATTTTACTCGATGAAAATTGTTGTATCGATACACTCTTTGAGAGATACCGTATCGATACCTATAAATTTCTCTACTTGATGAGCAGCTGACAAGTGTCGGACAGTGTTGTCAAGAGTGGCAGTAAAGCCCAAGAATTAGACAATTTTTAAAGGAATTCGCTAGGCTGCTAAAACAAAACAAATTTGAACAAAGTAAAACCAAAACAAAAATTATGACTAGCGAATCTACAGGCTACGAAGTATTGGATCAATACAGGACAATTTCTAACAAACTAAAAAAGTAAGTACCAAGATCCAAGCATAAATCAATTATTAATAAATTAAAATTCCAGACGTTTTCTACGTAAACCAAACGAAACCGAAGCTTCCGAATCCTTTGTACAACTAGCCAACAAATGCGAAGCTCAGCACTTGCCTCAGTATTCAGCACTGAGCTGGATTGCTGCTGCTAGATGCGAAGGCACTTTAGGCAACAGCATCAGCGAAAACTCTTACTTACTCAGAGCAGGCAGGCAGTTTTTAAATGCTGAACGAGAGGATTTGGACATTGGTTGTACTAGTGCTAATGAAAACCTTCAGGCAGGCTTAGCTTGCTTCAGGCATGCTTTTTTGAGACACAATAATGAAACCAGCTTGGGATTAGAGCTAATAGATTATCTACAAAATCTTGACCAAAAAGAACTATATTTGAAGCAAGCAGTTGATCTTGCTAGTAAAAACAAACAAGACAGTCATTTGCATTGTCTTGGTTTGTTAGGGAATTATTTTATTGCAAAAGGAGATCATGTTGCTGCCTTGCAAACGTATCAAGAAATACGCAAAGTATTAGATAATGTTGCAGTCACTGGGTATAAATGTAAAACCTTATTAGAATGTGAAATAAATTTAGTATTTTTGTTGCTGATCCTCAAACCTAGTCCGCAAAATATCCCTACACAATTGGCCAAGATATTGGAAAAATATACTTGGGGAGATCAATCTTCCTTACTAGGCATGTTTAATATAATAATTAATTAATATAAATTGATCAATATTTATTTTTCAGCTTGCAAAATGCCTGAAAATCTATTTCTTCTAATGCAAAGTATCGTGATTATTTGCCAGTCAATGGATAAGAGCAGCTTGCAGGATATCGAATCAGACTTTTGGCCCTATTTGAACACCGTACAAAAGGACTTGCTAAGGAGTTTAGTTAGAGTTTATTATCCGTAATTGTAAATTTAATAAAAATCAATAAATTATTACTCGACTCAAGTCTGCTATTCTAATGGAGCATGCGTATACCCAGTTGATTAAAAATGTTAGTGGGTTTGTTTTGATTGCTGGATTTTACTCAAAATAATCTAAAATATGTAAGCAAAGACTTTGTTTTTAATTGCACAATGTATATTTTATAAAATCCAGACTTGGCATTGTAATTTGTATTGACTTCATTCTTTGCTTCAGACAAAAGGTTGATGTCCATTCCAGGACCGAATCAAGACAATAATAATTTATTTATAACAATCTATATTGCTTATCATTTTTAAAATTTGCAAAAGATTTAACAAAGTCAGCATCAGCATGTAATTTTATTGATTTTTTTGCTTGGGAGGTAAAATGAATCTCCCACTTTAAGGGAAGTTTGAGGGGGTGGCATGACTCACTTCAATGACTAGAGATTCCTTATTATTGGTATTGGATAAATGAGTCAAGTGTGGTTGTAATGTAAAACGATTTAGAATAATATGTATAAGGGATATATATAACATATCGCCACAAAGTATTTTGTTTTTATTGGAAGCTTGCTAGGTACTATGATTTCAATTTTCTCAATTTAATAAAGTTATCTGTTTTCTATTCCAGGCTCTTGAATATTCTTTAGTTTGAAAAATTCAAGAGTCCGTAATGGACAAAAATTGAAATGGAAAAAATGAGGAATGAAGAGAAGAAATTCAAGAAAATTTGGTTGATTGATATATATGGTTTCATTATTAGGCTATAACTCTCTGGAATCCCTGGACCGATTGTGTATGTATGTATGTATGTGTGTGTGTTGGAGGTGTCAGTTGCACTGCGACCAAGGTTGATCTATTGTACCCCTCCTTCTGCTGCTAAGTTCGGGTTTCCTGCTTAAAGCAGCCCCTCTAGTACTAGGTCCTTTAGGAATTTTAGGATGTCTAGTGGTTCCAGGGCTGGAATGTCTTCCAGCTGTATAAGGGGACTTCCCAAGTTCTTCATTCTTGAGCGGCTTACGGCAACGCAGTTCAGTAGAAGATGGTGAGGTGTTTCTTCACCGTCTTCACAGAATCTGCAAGTGTTACCTTCTTCCAACCCCAAATTATGTAGGTGCTTATTCAGTCTGCAATGTCCCGAGAGAAACCCGGTTAGAGTTTTGAGACTTTTTTTGCTAAGGTTGACCAGCAGTTCCGATCTTTTTTGGTTGTAGCTGCCCAATAGATCTTTGGCCTGTCGTAGTCCTGGTTGGTCTAACCATTGTTTGTTCCTTAGCCGGTTCTCTTCCTTTTTGAGGATTTCTTGGAGGTGCGCATTTCCGACGCTGCAGAATGGTTCTGGCCCAGTGAAGGGAGTGACCGCTCCCGTTTTTGCAAGTTCGTCTGCGCATTCATTGCCCTCGACTCCTATATATGTCCAGGAACCCATAGTAGGCTTACTTTGTTTTCCTTCCCCAGCTCATTGAGTTTCTGTAGACATTCCCATACTATCTTAGAATTGATTATCGGCGAGCTCAATGCTTATATAGCTGCTTGGCTGTCAGACATTATTACAATTTCTCGTTTTCGGTACTTTCTGTTTAGGTTGAACTGCACGCATTTTCCTATCGCATGAAGTTCGGCTTGGAATATGCTTGGTGATTTGCCCATTAGCTCCGAGTATCTGGTTCGTGGCCCGAATACTCCGGCTCCTGTCCCCTCAGCAGTTTTGGAGCCGTCTGTGTACCATTTGATGGTGTTTGCCTTAAGGGACTGGATACATTCTATGTTCCATCTGTTCTTTGTACTTAGTTCGATGGAAAAGTTTTTCTCGAAACTGAATTTATCAACAATCGCGTCTTTTGGTAAGTCCATGAGGTGGGCACAGTTTGGGAGAGGGAAAGCTCTGCCAAAGTGCGTTTTCCCTTGTATAGACTTATCTTCGCCAGTCTTTTAGATATGATTCACTGGCAACCCGCTTCACTGTTGTGTGAAGTGGTGTTAGGTCTAGCATGACTTCCATTGCCGCGGTTGGGCATGTTCTCATTGCTCCTGTTATGCATAGACATGCGAGTCTTTGTACCTTTCCTAGGGTTTTCCTAGCCGTTACTAGCTGGGTTCGGCTGTACCAGGCTACCGCTCTATAGATGATGATAGGTTTCACTATCATGGTATACATCCATCGTAGGATCGATGGGTTACAACCCCACGTTTTGCCCGCAATGTTTTTACATACCATGAGTGCCGAAATTGCTTTGTTTGTTATGTTCTCTATGTGTCGGTTCCAAAGGAGTTTAAAGTCTAGGGTTATTCCTAGGAATTTAACTTCTTGTTTCCAGTGAAGCGTGCTTCCATCAAGGCGAATGTTCCTCAGGTATGGGAGTTTCCTGGACCGATTTCAATGTAGATATTGATTGGGGCTTTAAAAAAGGTTATTTGCGGCACCAAGCCCTAGTGCTTTGTTCTTGAGATAATTGGCTTTGAAGGTTTTCCGGAATTTGAGACAAAGTTTTAATTTTGAGGCTCAATATCTCGGAAACTATGTGAAATATATAATCCAATTTTGTTTTATCTTAAAGAGCAGTTGAGTTATAGGTGATTTTGTGAGGTAATGTCAGATAATCCAAATTTCTTAGGGCAAAAAATGCAAATTTAATTTTTTACAAGCCCTAAAAACTCGAAAAGAAAAATCATGAAAGTACTTTTCCACTAAATTTGACTACCTCTTTCGATTGATAAAATCAAAAATTAGAAAATCGAGAAAAATTAGAAAATCGAGAAAAATCAAAATTGAAATTTTTCCAAGGGAGAATGCAAGGAAATTTCATTTTAAAATATTTTAAAGGGCCATATTTTAGAAACCAAAGAAACAATCTGCACGAAATTTTGTCTAAGTGTAGATATTGATTGGGGCTTCAAAAAAGGTTATTTGGGGCACCAAGCCCCAGGGTTTCGTTCTTGAGATAATTGGCTTTGAAGGTTTTCCGGAATTTGAGACAAAGTTTTAATTTTGAGGCTCAATATCTCGGAAACTATGTGAGATATATAATCCAATTTTGTTTTATCTTAAAGAGCATTTAATTCTAATTCAGAATATATAAATCTGCATCAGAATTCTCAAGATATTAGTTGAGTTATAGGTGATTTTGTGAGGTAATGTCAGATAAGTAATTAAAATTTCTTAGGGCAAAAAAAGCAAAAATTATTTTTAATTTTTTAGATGCCCTAAAAACTCAAGAAGAAAAATCATGATAGTGCTTTTCCACTAAATTTGACCCCCTCTTTGGATTGGTAAAATCAAAAATTGAAAAATTAAGAAAAATCAAAATTGAAATTTTTCTAAGGGGTATACAAGGAAATTTCATTTTCAAATATTTCAAAGGGCCATATTCTAGAAACCAGAGAAACAATCAGCACGAAATTTTGTCTAAGTGTAGACCTCGATTGGGACTTGAAAAAATGTTATTTGGGGCACCAAGCCCTAGGGCTTCGTTCTCGAGATAATTGGCTCTGAAGGTTTTCCAGAATTTGAGACAAAGTTTCAACATTGAGGCTCAATATCTCAAAAACTATTTGAGATAAGTGATTCAATTTTGTTTCATCTCAAAGAGCATTTAAGTCTGATTCAGAATATATAAATATGCATTTGAATTTGTGAAATATACTAATCGAGTACCTAATAAGCGATTTTATGACACAAAGACGGTGCCAAAAATGCAAAAGAACCACCCGAATGTGTAATTACCACTAGAATTTATTGTAAAATAATACACTCTTCAAAATCATTTAAAAACTTTATTAAAAATCACTTCATATCCAAACACTGGATAAATAAAATCAATCACACTTCAACTAATCAAGTCATCATCAACCTTGCTTAAGATTATCCAAAATCCACATCAAATGACTACCAACTCGAGTATAAATCCCTGGCTGACCCTCAGTACCACACTCCCTCGGTCCAAAAGACACAATTCCGTATTGAATATACCTCGGACTACCATCCACCATCCCAGTATAAATGAGCGGTCCTCCCGAATCTCCGGCACAAGAATCCTGCCCTTTGTAGCCTCCCGCGCATATTTGACTGGACTTTATCGGCGCGAATCGATCGTAAATTTTCTGGCATGTGCTCAAAGGCAGCACGGGTACAGAGGCTTTGAGCAAAACCGAACTTTTGTGCCCGTCTTCTGTAACACCCCATCCAGAAACTATAGCAAATTTTCCAGTCAAATCGTCATTTTTTTCACTTACAGGCAAACATATAGGTTGCACGTTGGAGTAGCTAAAATTTGCATTATTAGCCAAACGCAACAAAGCAATATCATTATCAAATGTTTTAGGATTGTAATCTGAATGTACTACAGTATCTTTAATGTAAAAATCTTGCACTGGAGGGGCACAATAGGAACCTTCACAATCCTGCTTGTTACTGCTCAAGTCGTATTCCCCCAATCGCACTCCAATTAGTGTAGAATTCAAAATGCAATGGGCCGCAGTTAAAATATAGTTTTCCGTAATCACTGTCCCTCCGCAACGGAATTCTATCCCAACATCTGGGGTGTTGTATGCAATTAGGGCCATCCAAGGAAACTCTTCCAGGCTTGTTTTACGTCCTGCTGTTATCCGATTGGTTAGAACTTGATTTGCAATCGGACCGCATCGGTTTACAGGCAACAATTCAAAGTTTCTGTGGCTGTAAAGATTGCTGATGGTCGATTGTTGTAGGATACTTCTCGCAGGCCTTTGAGTTGTAGTTGTTGTTGTAGTGGTTGGTTTTCTGAAGCAACAAACTTTTGGTGTCTCACCTGCGAAGCCGCACTGATGTTGTTTGATTATTTTGATGATGCTTCTCGGTCTGGGTATGGGGGTTTTGTCCAGGAGATCGACGAAAAACGGGCACTGGGTGATTTCCAGGCAGTCGTCACCTAAGGGTGGTTCGCACTGTTGCTCTTCTTGGCTTACGAAAAATCTGGGCATGAATAATAGTCTCAAGGCACCAGAGCACTTTACACTTGTAAACACTGATACGAAATATAAATAGGCTGATAAAAACTTCATGTCTGTGGATTTTGTGTGTATACTGAAGGTGTATTTTGATCTTTGGTATGGTATATTAAACAGGTATTGGAATAATTATTGTATTGCGCTAGGCAGGTACTTATTAATAATAATTCTGACCTTGTACAGGTAAAAAAACTGTTCTATCTTTGTTTGGGTGTTAAGTATTTTAAAGGTAAATTTCTAGAGGCTGAGTTTCGGTTAAATTATTTCCATTGTCTCAGCCTTGGCTTAAGAAATAGAGAGGCCATCATTCTATACATTTTTCATGCAGGTATCTTTTTTTCTTTTGTGGATAGCAATTTCGATTTTTGTCAATTCTCGGCTCTTGGATTCACTCCATTGAAAAATAAATTGAATTCAAGAGCCGGGAATAGAAAAAATATTTAATTGTTTCTATGTGTATATTTTCTCTTCAATTTAATTATTTTTGTACCCTGGTATCTCAAAAGTTAAGACATTTTGGGACAATATAGAACTTAAAAATCGTCCCCTAGAAAACACCCTGTATAGAGGCTGAGTTTCGGTTATTTCTATCATCTCAGCTTTAAGAAATTGATGGGCGATCGTTCTATGAATTTTTCATGCAGGTATTTTTCTTTCTTTTGTGGAAGATGCTGCTGGAAAATTGAAATGGAAAAAAGTAATTTTTAGTCAATTTCAATGAAACTTTTCCTTTAAAATTACTTAGACTACTAATTCCTGCTAAAAATGCCTCTATAACTTCTTTGAATTTCCTTCATCCATTACAATTTCCAAATTTTCTGATTTTCCTTAAAGAAAGACTTCAAATTCAGTAGAAAACTATTATCCAAAGTCCTGGAAAATATTTCAAATAATGTTTTTGGTCTCTGAAGACAAATTCTACACGAGTGCATTTCTCAGAAAAATTCAAACGCAAAAAAAAACTTATTCAATTCTGGATCAGCATAGGTTTATTGATTCGCAACGAAACCCGATTGGCCGAGTTGGTGTATTGATTCGGTCACATGACCTGCCCTCTTCTTGCGCACCCTACGCGATCCTGCTGGATATCTTTCTCCTGTCCCAGTCCAGAAAAATCCCGAATTTGGAAAATATACGCGAATTTTCGACAAAATGATTTAGAATAAGTTGTATTCGAGACAGTGCGAAGTGTGTATTTGTTGCACTTAACGGTTTTAGTAAGTTGATGGGGATTTTTTCAAAGGGGTAAGAAAGGTTTCAGTTAAGTCGAAGATACTGCGAAGGGCGTATGGATTTTTCTGACAAATACGTATTCCAATTATAATAATAACAATTGTCTTTGATTTATGAATTCAGACACTTTAAAAAAAGTAGGTAGTTTTGAGTGTACCTACATGTAATGTTTATCCATCATATCTCTTTCCTGGTTCAGGTCGCACACGCTTTGTAATGGATTTTTAATTAAAATTGAATTAGCATTAAAGTGACCTCTTCTTATGAAATGCATTTTGTTTAACTTTTACAACAAAAACATGAAGGTTTTTTTTAAATGTTTAAATCTAATCTTGTACTATAAGTATAATGACCAAATATGGGTTGTATTTTTCTATTGATAAAACCAGCGTCATAATGTTTTTTTGCGTGGGTCAATGTGCATCCCGCCGCGGCGCCGAGACTCAACGACGCCTAGGCGCCACCTTATCAACCCGCGGAAATCTTTCGTCACGCGATCTGAATAATAAACTCATAAGAATTTTTGATTAAAAAAAAAAATATATAAATCTGAATCTTTCATACTCCTTTGACTCCTTGAATCTTTCATTTGAATCATACATTTATCTCAACTAAGCACAATTGCTAATAGATGAATCTTTTATCTTCAGCCTCTGTAATCACGTCCCACGCAATAATCCCTTTAAATGTTTGCGATAATTGGAATTGAACCAAATCGATATTGAACCAAGTCTGTGTGTATAAATAAGGGCCAAGGTTAAATTTAACACAATCAATTTATTCTTTGCAGATAATCCAAAAGTGAGCAAAGATGTCTTCGGTCAAAGTAGCTGTCCGCGTGCGACCTTTCAACAACAGAGAAATCTCGAGAGAATGCAAATGTATTATAAAAATGGGCGGAAATACCACAAGTAAGATTAAAGCGGTATTACAGACAAAAATCTTTATTTTCTTATTTGTTGCAGCTATACAGAACCCAAAGGCCGAACCAAACAATAAGGAATCGATTAAAAGCTTCAACTTTGATTATTCATATTGGTCACATGATGTAAGTAAGATGTTTGCTCATGCGTGTTTTATAACTGATAATTACATGAGATTCATGTGATTCCCAAAAAATGACATTGAGGCGCCTTTTATTTTATTTTTTGAAGAAAATATCTGAACTCGATGGAAATCAAATTCTAAAGATTTTGGAGCGTCGTAACTTCGAAATTATTGAAGCTGTATTGAAATTTGTAAAGGATTTAATTGGCTTTAATTCAAGCCTAATCACGTTGCAAAATCGGATTGAAATTAACAAAGTTGTCAAGCAAAATGTGTATCAATGTCATTTTGAAAAAATCAAATTTCCAAAAAATTACATTGAGGCGCCATTTATTTTATTTTTTTTGAGGAAAATGTCTGAAAGATCGAATTGAAACTTTGTGAGTGGATAGAAAAAGGATTGAAATTTAAGAAAAAAAATAGAAATTTCCTTTTGCTCATTTACCTCAATAGAAATGAAACTCTAAAGACTTTGGATCGTCGTAGCTTCGAAATTATTGAAGCTGCGTTCAAATAATTTGTTAGTCATTTGTAGAGAATTCAGTTGGCTTTAATTCAAGCCTAGTTACGTTGAAATCGGATTGAAATTAACAAAGTTGTCAAGCAAAATGTGTATCAATGTCATATTGAAAAAATCAAATTTCCAAAAAATGACATTGAGGCGCCTTTCATTTTTTTTTTGAGGAAAAGGTCTGAAAGATCGAATTGAAATTTTGTGAGTGGATAGAAAAAGGATTGAAATTTAAGAAAAAAAATAGAAATTTCCTTTTGCTCATTTACCTCAATAGAAATGAAACTCTAAAGACTTTGGATCGTCGTAGCTTCGAAATTATTGAAGCTGCGTTCAAATAATTTGTTAGTCATTTGTAGAGAATTCAGTTGGCTTTAATTCAAGCCTAGTTACGTTGAAATCGGATTGAAATTAACAAAGTTGTCAAGCAAAATGTGTATCAATGTCATATTGAAAAAATCAAATTTCCAAAAAATGACATTGAGGCGCCTTTCATTTTTTTTTTGAGGAAAAGGTCTGAAAGATCGAATTGAAATTTTGTGAGTGGATAGAAAAAGGATTGAAATTTAAGAAAAAAAATAGAAATTTCCTTTTGCTCATTTACCTCAATAGAAATGAAACTCTAAAGACTTTGGATCGTCGTAGCTTCGAAATTATTGAAGCTGCGTTGAAATAATTTGTTAGACATTTGTAGAGAATTCAATTGGCTTTAATTCAAGCCTAGTTACGTTGAAATCGGATTGAAATTAACAAAGTTGTCAAGCAAAATGTGTATCAATGTCATTTTGAAAAAATCAAATTTCCAGAAAATGACATTGAGGCGCCTTTTATTTTTTTTTTTGAGGAAAATGTCTGAAAGATCGAATTGAAATTTTGTGAGTGGATAGAAAAAGGATTGAAATTTAAGAAAAAAAATAGAAATTTCCTTCTGCTCATTTACCTCAATAGAAATCAAACTCTAAAGAATTTGGATCGTCGTAGCTTCGAAATTATTGAAGCTGCGTTCAAATAATTTGTTAGACATTTGTAGAGGATTCAATTGGCTTTAATTCAAGCCTAGTTACGTTGAAATCGGATTGAAATTAACAAAGTTGTCAAGCAAAATGTGTATCAATGTCATTTTGAAAAAATCAAATTTCCAAAAAATGACATTGAGGCGCCTTTCATTTTTTTTTTTGAGGAAAATGTCTGAAAGATCGAGTTGAAGTTTTGTGAGTGGATAGAGAAAGGATTGAAATTTAAGAAAAAAAATAGAAATTTCCTTCTGCTCATTTACCTCAATAGAAATCAAACTCTAAAGAATTTGGATCGTCGTAGCTTCGAAATTATTGAAGCTGCGTTCAAATAATTTGTTAGACATTTGTAGAGGATTCAATTGGCTTTAATTCAAGCCTAGTTACGTTGAAATCGGATTGAAATTAACAAAGTTGTCAAGCAAAATGTGTATCAATGTCATTTTGAAAAAATCAAATTTCCAAAAAATGACATTGAGGCGCCTTTCATTTTTTTTTTTGAGGAAAATGTCTGAAAGATCGAGTTGAAGTTTTGTGAGTGGATAGAGAAAGGATTGAAATTTAAGAAAAAAAATAGAAATTTCCTTCTGCTCATTTACCTCAATAGAAATCAAACTCTAAAGAATTTGGATCGTCGCAGCTTCGAAATTATTGAAGCTGCGTTCAAATAATTTGTTAGACATTTGTAGAGAATTCAAGTGGCTTTAATTCAAGCCTAGTTACGTTGAAATCGGATTGAAATTAACAAATTTGTCAAGCAAAATGTGTATCAATGTCATATTGAAAAAATCAAATTTCCAAAAAATGACATTGAGGCGCCTTTCATTTTTTTTTTTGAGGAAAATGTCTGAAAGATCGAATTGAAATTTTGTGAGTGGATAGAAAAAGGATTGAAAATTAAGAAAAAAAATAGAAATTTCCTTCTGCTCATTTACCTCAATAGAAATCAAACTCTAAAGACTTTGGATCGTCGTAGCTTCGAAATTATTGAAGCTGCGTTGAAATAATTTGTTAGACATTTGTAGAGAATTCAATTGGCTTTAATTCAAGCCTAGTTACGTTGAAATCGGATTGAAATTAACAAAGTTGTCAAGCAAAATGTGTATCAATGTCATTTTGAAAAAATCAAATTTCCAAAAAATGACATTGAGGCGCCTTTCATTTTTTTTTTTGAGGAAAATGTCTGAAAGATCGAGTTGAAGTTTTGTGAGTGGATAGAAAAAGGATTGAAATTTAAGAAAAAAAATAGAAATTTCCTTTTGCTCATTTACCTCAATAGAAATGAAACTCTAAAGACTTTGGATCGTCGTAGCTTCGAAATTATTGAAGCTGCGTTGAAATAATTTGTTAGACATTTGTAGAGAATTCAATTGGCTTTAATTCAAGCCTAGTTACGTTGAAATCGCATTGAAATTAACAAAGTTGTCAAGCAAAATGTGTATCAATGTCATATTGAAAAAATCAAATTTCCAAAAAATGACATTGAGGCGCCTTTCATTTTTTTTTTTTGAGGAAAATGTCTGAAAGATCGAATTGAAATTTTGTGAGTGGATAGAGAAAGGATTGAAATTTAAGAAAAAAAATAGAAATTTCCTTCTGCTCATTTACCTCAATAGAAATCAAACTCTAAAGAATTTGGATCGTCGCAGCTTCGAAATTATTGAAGCTGCGTTCAAATAATTTGTTGGACATTTGTAGAGAATTCAATTGGCTTTAATTCAAGCCTAGTTACGTTGAAATCGCATTGAAATTAACAAAGTTGTCAAGCAAAATGTGTATCAATGTCATATTGAAAAAATCAAATTTCCAAAAAACGACATTGAGGCGCCTTTCATTTTTTTTTTTGAGGAAAATGTCTGAAAGATCGAATTGAAATCTTGTGAGTGGATAGAGAAAGGATTGAAATTTAAGAAAAAAAATAGAAATTTCCTTCTGCTCATTTACCTCAATAGAAATCAAACTCTAAAGAATTTGGATCGTCGCAGCTTCGAAATTATTGAAGCTGCGTTCAAATAATTTGTTGGACATTTGTAGAGAATTCAATTGGCTTTAATTCAAGCCTAGTTACGTTGAAATCGCATTGAAATTAACAAAGTTGTCAAGCAAAATGTGTATCAATGTCATATTGAAAAAATCAAATTTCCAAAAAATGACATTGAGGCGCCTTTCATTTTTTTTTTTGAGGAAAATGTCTGAAAGATCGAATTGAAATCTTGTGAGTGGATAGAGAAAGGATTGAAATTTAAGAAAAAAAATAGAAATTTCCTTCTGCTCATTTACCTCAATAGAAATCAAACTCTAAAGAATTTGGATCGTCGCAGCTTCGAAATTATTGAAGCTGCGTTCAAATAATTTGTTGGACATTTGTAGAGAATTCAATTGGCTTTAATTCAAGCCTAGTTACGTTGAAATCGCATTGAAATTAACAAAGTTGTCAAGCAAAATGTGTATCAATGTCATATTGAAAAAATCAAATTTCCAAAAAATGACATTGAGGCGCCTTTCATTTTTTTTTTTGAGGAAAATGTCTGAAAGATCGAATTGAAATTTTGTGAGTGGATAGAGAAAGGATTGAAATTTAAGAAAAAAAATAGAAATTTCCTTCTGCTCGTTTACCTCAATAGAAATCAAACTCTAAAGAATTTGGATCGTCGTAGCTTCGAAATTATTGAAGCTGCGTTGAAATAATTTGTTAGACATTTGTAGAGAATTCAATTGGCTTTAATTCAAGCCTAGTTACGTTGAAATCGGATTGAAATTAACAAAGTTGTCAAGCAAAATGTGTATCAATGTCATTTTGAAAAAATCAAATTTCCAAAAAATGACATTGAGGCGCCTTTCATTTTTTTTTTGAGGAAAATGTCTGAAAGATCGAATTGAAACTTTGTGAGTGGATAGAAAAAGGATTGAAATTTAAGAAAAAAAATAGAAATTTCCTTTTGCTCATTTACCTCAATAGAAATGAAACTCTAAAGACTTTGGATCGTCGTAGCTTCGAAATTATTGAAGCTGCGTTCAAATAATTTGTTAGACATTTGTAGAGGATTCAATTGGCTTTAATTCAAGCCTAGTTACGTTGAAATCGGATTGAAATTAACAAAGTTGTCAAGCAAAATGTGTATCAATGTCATATTGAAAAAATCAAATTTCCAAAAAATGACATTGAGGCGCCTTTCATTTTTTTTTTGAGGAAAATGTCTGAAAGATCGAATTGAAATTTTGTGAGTGGATAGAAAAAGGATTGAAATTTAAGAAAAAAAATAGAAATTTCCTTCTGCTCATTTACCTCAATAGAAATCAAACTCTAAAGAATTTGGATCGTCGTAGCTTCGAAATTATTGAAGCTGCGTTGAAATAATTTGTTAGACATTTGTAGAGAATTCAATTGGCTTTAATTCAAGCCTAGTTACGTTGAAATCGGATTGAAATTAACAAAGTTGTCAAGCAAAATGTGTATCAATGTCATTTTGAAAAAATCAAATTTCCAAAAAATGACATTGAGGCGCCTTTCATTTTTTTTTTTGAGGAAAATGTCTGAAAGATCGAATTGAAACTTTGTGAGTGGATAGAAAAAGGATTGAAATTTAAGAAAAAAAATAGAAATTTCCTTTTGCTCATTTACCTCAATAGAAATGAAACTCTAAAGACTTTGGATCGTCGTAGCTTCGAAATTATTGAAGCTGCGTTCAAATAATTTGTTAGACATTTGTAGAGAATTCAATTGGCTTTAATTCAAGCCTAGTTACGTTGAAATCGGATTGTAATTAACAAAGTTGTCAAGCAAAATGTGTATCAATGTCATATTGAAAAAATCAAATTTCCAAAAAATGACATTGAGGCGCCTTTCATTTTTTTTTTGAGGAAAATGTCTGAAAGATCGAATTGAAATTTTGTGAGTGGATAGAGAAAGGATTGAAATTTAAGAAAAAAAATAAAAATTTCCTTCTGCTCATTCACCTCGATAGAAATCAAACTCTAAAGACTTTGGATCGTCGTAGCTTCGAAATTATTGAAGCTGCGTTGAAATAATTTGTTAGACATTTGTAGAGAATTCAATTGGCTTTAATTCAAGCCTAGTTACGTTGAAATCGGATTGAAATTAACAAAGTTGTCAAGCAAAATGTGTATCAATGTCATTTTGAAAAAATCAGTACCTATATAAATCGATTGACAATGGAAACGATTGTTAAAATGATCCAACTTTTCTCTCATCAGGAAACCGATCCCGAATTTTCCTCTCAACTTCTCGTCTACAAAGACATCGGCGAAGAAATGCTACAACACTCATTCGACGGCTACAACGTGTGCATTTTCGCCTACGGCCAAACCGGCGCCGGAAAATCCTACACCATGATGGGCAAACAGGAAGAAGGCCAAGAAGGTATAATACCCCAAATCTGTTTGGAGTTGTTCAGGAAAATTAAAGATAGCGATCAGGGCGACATCAAGTACTCGGTAGAAGTCAGTTATATGGAGATATACTGCGAAAGGGTGCGGGATTTGCTCAATCCCAAAAACAAGGGTAATCTTAAGGTGCGCGAACATCCTCTATTAGGGCCTTATGTAGAAGATCTCAGTAAACTAGCTGTTACTAGTTACGAAGATATACACGAGCTTATTGATGAAGGAAATAAAGCTAGAACTGTAGCTGCTACAAATATGAACGAAACTAGTTCCAGGTCGCATGCAGTTTTCACTATATTTTTTACACAGCAAAGGTAAAAATTAGTTTTGTTTTTTTATTGGGCGTATATTAATTGATGATAATTATTTTGTTTGTAGATTAGACGAAATCACTCAACTGACTACGGAAAAAGTATCCAAAATATCCTTGGTGGACTTGGCAGGATCCGAAAGGGCCGATTCCACCGGTGCCAAGGGCACCAGACTAAAAGAGGGAGCTAATATTAACAAGAGTCTTACCACTTTGGGTAAAGTGATATCAGCTCTAGCTGAAATAGTAAGTAATTGTCTCTTCATATTTAGTAATACATTAATAATTTTATTTGTCTTTGTTCTTTTGCTGCTATTCTATAGTCGGTAAGAACTTTTTCTGGATAGGTAATTATTTCAGTTGAATTTCATTACTAATATTTCACAGGCAACCAAAAACAAAAAATCCAAAAAAGCCGATTTCATACCATACAGAGACTCGGTTTTAACGTGGTTGCTGCGTGAAAATCTGGGAGGCAACAGTAAAACCGCTATGATAGCTGCTATATCGCCTGCGGATATCAACTATGATGAAACTCTATCGACATTGAGGTGAGTAGTTGGAAATACCAAAGGACAAACAATAATCTAAGCAATCTACAGATATGCAGATAGAGCCAAACAAATTGTTTGCAAAGCTGTTGTCAACGAGGACGCCAATGCCAAACTCATACGAGAACTCAAAGAAGAAATCCAAAAGTTGCGAGAATTACTCAAACAAGAAGGCATCGATGTACACGAAGGTAATTATTTAATGATTTTTCATAATTAATCAACAAAGCGGCATCTGGGTATTGGTTGACACAACCGTATATATGTTTTTTTTTTATTTTAACAAGGTCCGGACGGCAAAGTTATGTACGAAAAAAAAGGTGAGTATGTGCCGCTTTTTAGCCACATCAGAAAATCAAAAATGTGTGTCTACCAGCAGCTTCCAGCAATCGCCAATATTTTAATTATTATTTCCATATTTTTTTAATTTCTATATGTGCTCATAATACATAAGTCAAATTTAAAATCAATTAAAAAATATTTTTCTTACATAAGGTATGGATAGTAATATGGTGGACAGGAATAATAAGGAAAACGAAAAACGTGCCAGGACTCAATCTACAACTGCAGAGGAAGCTGTAGACCAGCTACAGGCTAGCGAAAAACTTATTGCAGGTGAGATTTTCTTTTCTCTTTAATAGTAATGACACGAGACGAGAGAATGCGACTTCTCGTTGAGAATTTCTCGAGTTCTCTCTTTCTTTTTAGTCGTGTGGGAACAAAATATCCATTTGATGTTAGTTTTGCCCCCCATCTACCCTATGTAATTTGACTCAAAATAAAAATAAGCCACTAGATACAGAATGATCAATATTTTATTATTCCCGGCTCTTGTAAGAAATCTTTTACAAAAACTGATATGTAATTGAAAACAATTCCACCACTGTGTGAAGATACAGGATGATCAATATTTTATCATCTTTAGTTTTTAACGTAGAATATCTTTCACGAGAGCCAGTAATGGAATAGAATTTTACCCACTGTAATTTGACACAACAAAAATAAGCCACTGTATGAAGATACAGAGTGATCACTGTGTAAAGATACAGAATGATGAATATTTTATAATTTTTGGCTCTCGTAGGAAATCTTCCACGGAAACTGGTAATAGGAAACAACTCCACCACTGTGTAAAGATACAGAATGATCAATATTTTATTATTCTTGGCTCTTAATGTAGAAAATCTTTCACGAGAGCCTGTAATAGAAAACAATTTTACCCACTGTAATTTAACACAACAAAAATAAGCCACTGTATAAAGATATAGAGTGATCAATATTTTATTATTCCTGGCTCTTGTAGAAAATCTTTTACGGAAGCTGGTAATCGAAAACAATTCTACCACTGTGTAAAGATACAGGGTGATCAATATTTTATTATCCCCGAGAGCCGGTAATAGGAAACAATTCCACACATTGTAAATTGACTCATTTTAGATTGGGTACAGTGCGTTATGCGTCAGAATTAACAAGAGACGAGAGAAAACGAGACGAGACGATAGAAGAGCTCTTTCGTATTGTATCGAGAATTTCTCGTCGAAACGAGAGACTCATTTTCTCTCGAACCTTTGAGACTAGACGAGAAAGAACATAGATATTCTCGTCTCGCCTCAATTTTATGAAAAAAGGCATAATACCTACTCAAAACATTTACTAATTTTCAGAATTGAATGAAACTTGGGAAGAAAAACTAAAGAAAACCGAAGCCATAAGAATAGAACGAGAAGCTGTCTTTGCCGAAATGGGGGTAGCAATAAAGGACGGCAATACCGTGGGCATATTTTCGCCCAAACGCACCCCGCATCTGGTCAATCTCAACGAGGATCCTTTCATGTCCGAATGCCTCATTTATTACATAAAAGTAAGTGCGGCTCACAGAAAACTCTTACTACTTAAACATTATTTCAGGATGGTTTGACCAAAATAGGCTCAGAAGAAGCCAACAGCCCTCAAGATGTGCAACTTTCAGGAGCCCACATTAAACCTGAGCATTGCATTTTTGAAAATAAAGACAGAAAAATCACGCTGATACCTTTAAACTCAGCTTTAATCTATGTTAATGGAAGAGAAGTACTTATTTAACAATTAATTAAATTGTTCAAATAAAAATTCTTAAATTTATAGATTATCGAACCAATAATTCTCAAAACGGGTTCGCGCGTTATCCTGGGTAAAAATCACGTATTCCGTTTCACTCATCCAGATGAGGTGAGAGAGATGCGGGAGAAAAACACCCTCCCTGAAACAGTCGATTGGAACTTTGCGCAAAACGAACTTTTAGAGAAACAAGGGGTCGATTTGAAGGCGGAAATGCAAAAGAAGTTGGTCACCTTGGAAGAGCAGTACCGCAAGGAAAAGGAACTAGCAGATCAGGCATTTAACGAACAGAGAAAAGTACGTATATAGTTAGTCAATGGATAATACTTTTTGCGACTTCTTTAATTTGATGTTTGAGGCGTTGAAAAATAAATTCCACTCCTGCTGTTGCTAAGAAATAAACTATTATTAGTTTCTGATGATAATTATTTAATATAGAATTATGAGGCAAGGATTGATGCTTTGCAAAAACAAGTGGAAGAACAAATAATGACCATGTCCACCTATAGTTCGTACACTCCAGAAGATTACAGCAACGACAACGATATTTTTGGTAAGTGAATTTCATCAAAACATTCCGCAAGCATATACAAAGTAATAGCAAATTCACATGAGTTATGGCATGCCAGTAGCTTTTAGTTGGGCTTTAAATACAAAGAGTGGCACCCGCTTTTTCAGTGAACCCTCTGTTTGATGCAGAGTGCAACTGGTCAGAAAAGGAGTTCGAAATGGCAGCAACGGCTTGGCGCAAGTGGAAGCACCACCAGTTCACTTCCCTACGGGACGATTTGTGGGGCAACGCAATTTTTCTCAAGGAAGCCAACGCTATCAGTGTGGAATTGAAGAAGAAGGTAACTGATCAGTTTTATACAGACTGGACCAACTTATTACAGATAAGTTGGTGTGTTATTTAAATTTGACTTTTTAAGGTCCAATTCCAATTTACGCTTCTCACGGATACGTTGTATTCTCCCTTGCCTCCGGACTTGAGGCCAGCAGTAGATTACGACCATGATGAAGATGTTTCGATACAAAAAACCTCTGTGGCTGTGGAAGTGCAGGATCTCAAAAATGGAGCCACTCATTATTGGTCTTTAGACAAATTGCGGTAATTATAGACAATATTTTTAAAATTTTAAACGCATTTTTTTGTATGTAGCCAACGTTTGGAACTGATGCGCGAAATGTATCACAACGAAGCTGAAATGTCGCCTACTTCTCCAGACTACAATGTAGAATCTCTAACTGGAGGCGATCCTTTTTACGACAGATTCCCCTGGTTCCGTATGGTTGGAAGAGGATTTGTCTATTTGAGCAATTTATTGTATCCAGTTACTTTGATACACAAAGTAGCTGTTGTGAGTGAAAAAGGAGATGTTAGAGGATATTTAAGAGTAGCTGTGCAAGCTGTTATGGACGAAGACAATTCCGATCAGGTCGGAGTGAGGCAAAGTGCTAGAATTGCTTTCGAATCTACTCCCAAAGGTAATTAAGTATATATACAGGGTGTTTCGAAACTATTATGCCAAAAATAAAGGGATCGCGCCAAAATAAACGTTTTTTACTTATAAACACATAGGCGCATGCGCTTTGGTTATGTGATAATAGAACATTACAGATCGCGCTGTGGTAGCCACCATTACCTCATTTTTTCAAGATTCTTATCTCACTTTTTCACGAATTCACTCACTTTTTTTGAAATTTTTGACTCATTTTTGACCCACTTTTTTGCAATTTTGTCTTCACTTTTTTGCGATTTTTGGCTCTTTTAAAGATTTTTGACTCTCTTTTTTGCGAATTTGTCCTTACTTTTTTTGCGATTAGCCTCACTTTTTTGCGATTTCACCCTCACTTTTTTTGCCCCTCACTCCTCGGCGATTACAAACTTATTTTTCCGCTATTTCATCCTTATTTTTCCGCGATTCTTACCTCATTTTCCCGCTATTGTTTCCCTACTTTCCGCGATTTTATCTTCACTTTCCCGCGAATTTGACCTCACTTTTTTTGTGATTTTTGAATAATTTTTTTTGCAGTTTTTGACTCATTTTTTTTACCATCACTTACCGCGATTCTAAATTCACTTTTTCGCGATTGTAAACCCACTTTTCCGTAAATATTATCTCATTTTTCCGCGATTCTTGTCTCATTTTTTTTGCGATGTTATCCTCATTTTTCCGCGATTCCTATTTCATTTTCCGCGCTTTTATCCTCACTTTTCGTGACTTTATCCTCATTTTTCCGTGAGTCTCATCTTACTTTTCCGCGAGTTTAGCCTCACTTTTTTTGAAATTTTTGACTCACATTTTTTTTTGCAATTTTTGTCTCTTTTTTTTTGCGATTTATTATCACTTTCCGCGATTTTATCCTCATTTTTCCTCATTTCAAAATTACGAGAATAACAATAATTTTTGAAAAGTTACGAAAAATTACGGGAATTACGTTAAAGTACGTAAAATATGAAAAATTATGAGAATTGCAAACATTCACGAGAATTACGGAATTGGGAATTACCAAATATTACACAAAAGAATTACGAAGTTACTCCAAAATAACGTCAATTATTTAAATATTACTAATTTTTGAAAAGTTACGAAAACTAACAAGACAAATTACGAGAATTACGAAAAATAATGGGAATTATAAAAATTTACGGAACCCAGTAAAATGACGGAAATGACGAAAATTTACGGGAATTATGAGAAAATATAAAAAATACGGGAATTAAGAAAAATACGAAAAACTACGAAAATTATAAAAATTACGGGTATTACGAAATATTACGGGAAAGGAAAAAATTACAAAGTTATTTCAAAATTACGTGAATTACAGTAATTCCCAAAATAACAGAAATCACGAGTTTTTAGGGAGAATTAGAAAATTCCGAATTTTTTTGGAAATAAGAAAAATTGAAAATTAAATAATTGAAAATACAAATAATTACTGGAATTACGAAAACATCACGATGGGAAAATCGCGAAAAATTGCGGGAATAACGAAAATTAACAAGTTTTCCAAAAATTGAAAAAAATAAGGGGGAATTAGAAAATAACAAGAATTATCTGAGAAATGACAGGAATTAAAAAATTTTGAAAATCCCCCCAAAAAAAAATACGGAAATTACCAACTTTCAAAAATTTAAAGGGAATTATAAAACTAACGGAATTTTTTTGAGAAATAACGAAAATTAAAAAATTACGAAATAATGGAAAATTTCCAAGTTTTTCGAAAATTGTAAAAACTAAGGAGGTATTATGAAATTAACGAGAATTATCTGAGAAATGACAGAAATTACAAAATTTCGAAAATTCTCAAAATAAAATACGAAAATTACCATGTTTTCGGAATTATCAAAATAACGAAGTTTTTGAAGAAATTACAGGAATTAAAAAATTACGGAAATCTGGAAACTACAGGAATTATTCAAAAATTATGAAAAATACGAAAAAATCACGGGAATTAAAAAAATTGTGACAATTTTCAAAAAAATAACAAGAATTACAAAAAGTTACGGGATTCACGAGTTTTCCGAAAATTGCAAAACTAAGGAGGAATTATGAAATTAACGAGAACTTTTTGAGAAATTACGAGAATTTGAGAATTTTCGAAAATTCCAAGAAAAAAAAAATACGGGAATTACCAATTTTTGAGAATCACAACAAACTGGGGGCAAATTATAAAGATATGTAACGAAGTTTTTTGAGAAATCATCGGAATTACAAAATTACGAAAATTTGAGGAACTACAGGAAATATAAAAATTGAAAGAGATAAGGAAAAATCACCGGAATTGTGAAAAAATTACGATAATTTTTAGAAAGTTACGGGATTTATGAAAAAGGTACGGGAATTACGAAAATTACGAGTTTTCCAAGAATTACAATGACTAAAGAAGAATTATAGAAATAGGGAGAATTATCTGAGAAAATACGTAAATAATGAAAATTCACAAAAAAAAAAAAAAAATGAAAATTATGGGAATTACGAATTTTTGAAAGTAACAAAAACTTAGGGGGAATTATAAAATAAGTAACTGAATATTTTGAGAAATTAAAGAAATTGAAAAATTACGAAAATCTGAGAAACAGCAGGAATTATTCAAAAATTACGGGAATTTCAAAAAAAGTACGATGAATTTTGGAAAGTTACGAAAAATTGAGGAACTTACGAAAAAGTTATGGGAATTACGAAAATTACGAGTTTCGCGAAAATTGCAAAAACGAAAGAAAAATTATAAAAATAACGAAATTTATTTGAGAAATAACGGCTTTCAACAATTTTTTTTTCGCAATTTCACCTCCACTTTTCCGCAATTTCAAAGTCCAAACTCACTTTTTCGCAATTTCAACAAATTTTGCCTCACTTTTCCGTTATTCTTGCCTCATTTTTCAATAAGTATAACCTCACTTTTCCGCGATTTTCGTCTCACATTTCCGCAATTTCAACCTAATTTTTCCAAAATCTTTACTTTTGTTTTTCGTATTTATAACTTCATTTTTTCTCGATTATAACCTTGCTTTTCCGTCATTTTTACTCAACTTTTTCGCAATTCCAACATTTCCAACCTCATTTTTCTGTAATTTTTACTTTTATTTTTCGTAATTTCAACGTCACTTTCCTGCGATTTTGACACTCACTTTTTCGCAATTTTTGAAAAGTTACAGAAAATTGCAAGAATTACGAAAAATAACTGGAATTATAAAAATAAAGAGAATTACAAAAATTACCTATAGGAATTACGAAAATCACGAATTTTTGAAATTATGAAAATTACAAAACTTGGGGGGGAATTTAAAAATAACGAAGTTTTTTAAAAAATTAGGAGAATTAAAAATGGATACAAAAAATTACGGGAATTACGAAAATTACGAAAAAATTTTAATTTTTGAAGTTATGGGAAAATTACGAAAAAGTGCATGCGCCTATGGGTTTATAAGTAAAAAACGTTTATTTTGGTGAGATCTATCATTTCTCAATTATTGGCACAATAGTTTCGGAACACCTTGTATATATATTATCAAACCATCACCTATAAAATCTCTAATAATCTTAGCTGTTATGGAACGCAATATTCACAACATGGAAGAACGTATTATTGAAGGCCACAACAGTATCGATCCAATTAAACTGGAAGAGTTGATTGAATGCGATGCCGATTCAGGCCGTGGAGACAGCTCAGTTTCTTCTGACCTTAAAGAAGAAGAAATCCCCGAGCATTTAATGATTGGCAAAGAGTTCACTTTTCGAGTCACTGTATTGCAAGCTGTTGGAATTTCAACTGAATATGCTGACATATTTTGCCAGTTCAAGTACGGAATTTTGAATGTGTATAGAGCGTTTTTAATTGAATTTGTTTCAGCTTCTTGCATAGGCACGATGAGGCATTTTCAACTGAACCAGTTAAAAATACTGGCAAAGGAACACCACTAGGTTTCTACCACGTGCAAAACGTAATACATTATAATATTTATAAGAAACATTATAATCATTTATGTTTATTATTGAAGATTACAGTTACTTGCACCAAATCCTTTTTGGACTATATTAGAACGCACCCAATAGTGTTTGAAGTATTCGGACACTACCAGCAACATCCTTTGCATAAAGACGCCAAATTGGAAGGTAGTGTCAGGCAACCTCCAAGAAGAATGTTGCCGCCTTCGATTCCGATTTCTCAACCGGTCAGGTCTAGTAAATTTGGTGCTTTGCCTAGTCCTTGCACCGCTCATATCCACGCTAAGGTAATTTACCTCATAACGCGATTTTATTTCTAAATTAGTGGAAATGTTCGGGGATCGTGGTCCTTCACTGGGATAAGAATCGCTGAAAATTTCAGCTTTGTATCTTTAATAGAAAAAAAGTTATGGGTTTTCAAAGTTTTTAAAAATCCAAATCATAAAGGTAGCTACTAGGTAGTAAGTACTTACAATTTTTCTTTACTTTCACTAAATTCGCGATTGTCAATGCCTATTGAACGCAATATCTTTCTTTTTACTGGAATAGCGTTGAATTCTCTATAATCTCAACATAAAACGTTTGAAGATTTTTGATTCGCAAACGATAAATTTCAGGTTGATATCCTCGTATGGTTCGAAATCTGCGAACTAGCTCCAAACGGTGAATACGTACCCGTCGTTGTAGAACACAGCGACGAATTACCTTGCAGAGGCCTCTTCTTGCTCCACCAGGTATATATGAACACCTCCTAATCAAACATTTATACAACTAAAAATCTTTAAGGGCATTCAACGTAGAATCCGCATAACAATTGTGCACGATCAAGCATCTGAAATCAAATGGAGAGACGTAAGAGAATTGGTGGTGGGCCGCATAAGGAACAATCCAGAATCCGAAGATGACGAGGATAACGACAACTCGGTGCTTTCTTTGGGATTATTTCCAGGAGAGTATCTGGAAATTCCAGGAGATGACAGGGTCATGTTTAGGTTCGAGGCGGCTTGGGACAGCTCCTTGCACAATTCGATTTTGTTGAATCGCGTTACTGCTCCTGGAGAACAAATTTTCATGACTATATCTGCTTATTTGGAGGTAGATACGTTTTAATTACTGATAATGAAATAATTACAGGATGGTTGTTGTTTAGTTGGAAAACTGTGCAAGGCCAGCAATAATTACTAAGGATTTGAGTATGGTCATGTATGGAAGAGACGCCCGTACAGGCCCTAGATCTTTGAAACATCTCTTTTCTGGAAGTTACAGAAATGCAGAAGCAAACAGGCTGTCTGGAGTGTACGAGTTGTTGCTGAGACGTGCCAGCGAAGCAGGTAGTCCAGGTAGATTCCCCTTAGTTAGTCCTTTTCCTGCTTATTCCATCTATAATCCTTTTTTTTCCCGCTGCTTTTTGAAGGTAATTTTTCTTGCTTTTTAACATCATGTCCATTAGTTTATGCTGTTACGGATTTTAATGTAAATACATACTAAAATATTGAATCAACAGGAGTACAACGTCGTCAAAGGCGCGTATTGGACACGAGCTCTACTTACGTGAGAGGTGAAGAAAATTTACATGGATGGCGTCCACATGGGGATTCGCTTATTTTTGATCACCAATGGGAATTGGAAAAATTGACACGACTAGAAGAAGTGGAGAGGTAATTGTTCAGACTTATAAATTACTATGCAGATTGGACCAACTTACTAGGCGAATTGAGGCTAGACCAGGGCCATGTAACTAAATTCAAATTTGTGATAGGGCATGACAAATTTAACATAGGGCTTACACTATACACTTGCCTCCCCACTGTTAAAATTTTCATAAGTGAACAAAATAGGGGTGTAGTGGGCCTGGAAGCAAATTCACCAATCAATAAATAACATTTCTGGAAAGTAAGCCAAATACCAAATGAAATACATTTAGGCGTTTTTGGAAACATTTATTCTCAGACTCAGTTGATTTAATTCCTATTCATTATTTACTCTTGAATCTCCTAGAAAAACCTTAACGCATGTCTTGTTTTAAAGGTAAGGGCATTATAGTTTAAAGGTTAGGGCTCTGCCCCCAATGCCGCCCCCTGGCTACGGCCCTTTGATTGTTTAGAGATATTTACAAGCAACTCAAGAGCCGGTAATAATATCAAAATTTAAACTTTTACCGGCTCTTGATTGTCCAGAATATTCCAGCAACTCAAGATTTCTTAGAGGAAATTTCATTTTCAAATATTTCAAAAAGGCGTATTTCAGAAGTCAGAGAAGCAATCGGCACGAAATTTAGTCTAAGTGTAGATCTCGATTGGGGCTTCAAAAAAGGTTATTTTGGGCTCCGAGCCCTAGGGCTTTGTTTTCGAGATAATTGGCTTTAAAGGTTTTCCAGAATTTGAGACAAAGTTTCAATTTTGAGGCTCAATATCTCGAAAACTTTTTGAGATAATTGATTCAATTTTATTTTATTTTAAAGAGCATTTAATTCTGATTTAGAATATATAAATATGCATTAGAATTTCTAAGTTAATTAATTGAGTTATGGGCGATTTTATGAGGCAATGTTGGTTAATCAAAATTTCTCAGGGCAAAAAATGCAAAAATCATTTTTAATTTTTTACAGGCCCTAAAAACTTGAAAAGAAAAATCATGAAAGTGCTTTTCCACTAAATTTGGCTCCCTCTTTCGATTGGTAAAATCAAAAATTTAAAAATCGAGAAAAATCAAAATTGAAATTTTTCTAAGAGGTATGCAAGGAAATTTCATTTTCAAATATTTCAAAGGGCCATCTTTTAGAAACCAAAAAAGCAATCGGCACAAAATTTAGTCTAAGTGTAGATCTCGATTGGGGCTTCAAAAAAGGTTATTTTGGGCTCCGAGCCCTAGGGCTTTGTTTTCGAGATAATTGGCTTTAAAGGTTTTCCAGAATTTGAGACAAAATTTCAATTTTGAGGCTCAATATCTCGAAAACTTTTTGAGATAATTGATTCAATTTTATTTTATCTTAAAGAGCATTTAATTCTGATTTAGAATATATAAATATGCATTAGAATTTCTAAGTTAATTAATTGAGTTATGGGCGATTTTATGAGGCAATGTTGGTTAATCAAAATTTCTCAGGGCAAAAAATGCAAAAATCATCATTACCGGCTCTTGATTACCTAGAATAATTACCCAGCGACTCAACAGCCGGTAATAATCAAAATTGGGATTTGAAAGTGAAATTTGAAGCAGCTAGACTCTGTGTCTAGTAGCCTAGTCATGTTTGTATATTATATAACCGATGATATCAACTCAGTCTAGAATTTAAGGTGATGACTGTCTGGGGGAATCTCATACAGTGTTACCAAATTGTGCACAATTTCCTTTAATATAAAACTTGCTTTACTAGGGTAAGACACACATTGTTGCTACGCGAAAGACTGGGCCTGGACCGGTGCCACAACTACAACAAATTCCAAGCAGAGTACACGACGAAAAGCGAAAAGGACGTGTGCAACATGGTGGCGAAAAACAACCTGAACTACCAGCAGCAACAAGCAAACAACGATCCGTGCTACGAGTACACGGAACGCGAAAAGCAGCTGCTCAACAAGTGCGTGAGACTTATCCAAGGCAAACCCAAAGATTTGAAGGATAACGAAGTTGGTAGCCCCACCGAAGAAATGACCGATATGAGCTCTAGCATGATTTCCAGCGTCATGACGAATAGTTCTATTGAATTGTGCTCACCTGAACGGACTCCGATGATTGGAGAGTGTGCACCTTTTCCTAGTATGCCTGCTTCACCACCAGGTAAAGATTTTCAATTTCATCAATTTTTATTAAATCATTTTCTTAGGTCCAAGAGATCCCGAATTGGTCCTTTACGTGCCCGACATGGAAGAAATTCGAATTTCCCCAGTGGTGGCCCGCAAAGGGTACCTCAACGTGCTCGAGCACAAAACGCACGGTTGGAAAAAGCGTTGGGTGGCTGTGCGACGACCCTACGTCTTTATATTCCGCGACGAAAAAGACCCTGTGGAAAGGGCCCTGATCAACTTGGCCACAGCTCAAGTCGAGTACTCGGAAGACCAACTGGCCATGGTGCGTTTGCCCAACACTTTCAGTGTGGTCAGCAAACATCGGGGATATCTGTTGCAAACTTTGCATGAGAAGGAAGTTCATGATTGGCTTTACGCTATCAATCCGTTGTTAGCTGGTCAGATACGTTCCAAGTCGGCTAGGCTACAGCCTCAGAAAGAGGAGACTACGATTGTGGCTGTAGTACCTAAATGAGATATGATCGATATGGAATCTGTGCTTGTTTATTAATGAGAGTTTTGGATTTGGTAATGCTTAGCGCGAGGGCATTGGCAAATGTGTATGTTTCATGACTTAGGCAAGAATGAACCTACACTTTATATGTCATTTTTAAAAAAGATCACTTTGTTTAGGAGTTTTCTTCTAAGGACATAGGAAACAACCTTTATTTCACTGTCAAAAGCAATTTCCACTTCTTTAACTGAAGCTCATTTTTGCCTAACTCCATTAAACAAGAGATTCCATATAAGGGTGCGTTGAAATTGTCTAGTCATTTTTCTGTTCAACTATATAGGGTTGATTTTGTTGGGAATTGAAGAGTTTTTCTTTTGTTTTTGTACAGTTTACACCAGCAAAAGGCCCTTATTGTTTGAACTTTTGCTTTAACATTGTGATTTTCTAAGAGATATACGTATATATTTTAAATAGTGTTTATTTTTATTAGGCTTAAGTATAGTTGTATTATTTAAATTTAAAATAATTCTCGGTGTTATAAAAGAGTCGGAGCTTTTAATTATTACTAGTAATATGTATCAAAAAAAAAAAATATTATAAATGTTCAGTACCCTTCTTCCCCTAAGGCCTCAGATTTTGATTTTCGATGTGCAATATTTAAACCAAAAAAAAATAGTCTTAAATTATATTATAAAACACGTAAATATATAGGGCAGATATTTGTAGGAATAATGCACAAGCATAATTTAAACAAAATTAAACGCCCTTTGATTTGTAGATTTTTCCAAGCTAACCACCCAGTACTTATAGAGTTTTAAGGCAAATTTCCTGACTGATATTATGTTTTGGCCATTCTTTTAGATGTTGTTAGAGTGATGTAGCAAGTCTAAAAGAATGGCTGTTTTTTTTTTTCCTCTCAAATAAAATTAAAACACTTGTGCTACGCCTTAAACTTAATTAAGAGCTATAAATGTATAAAAATGGTATTAAGGTCGATGAAAACAGAGTAGGACAATTTAGGAAATTTATTATTTTAATAAAGGTAGGTACGAACTTGTATCGAGGTTTTGTCCCTCATTTATTGTATAATTAAGTCATTATATGATAATAAACCAATTAAAGTCGTAAGAAATATGTTTTATTAACTACTAGCGGTTAGTCTCAAAAAAAGGGCGATATTTGGCAAATTTGTCTGAAAGCACCAAATTCCACAGGGACGTTTTTAAGATTATTTTAAGCGATTTGGCCCGCAGGGCCAGCTCAATTTTTGACTGTGACTCAAACTGACGACGATTTTTCAAAATGGCGGACCAAAAATCGACAATAATACTTATTTACCAACGGTTTTAAACGTTCAACATGTCGTTTTTAACTAATTTTGGGACGCAGATTTCATTAAAAATACTAGTTTTTACATTATCATTCAAGTTCATATGAAAAAGCTATATAGGGTTGTCAAAAACCTTTAAAAAAATACTTATTCAAAATGCGTATGAAATTGTTTTTTTGTTAATTTTATGTTTCGCTGTTTCAAATTCACGGTGAAACTACCGACATACTTACACATCAATTTAATAGTCATATACAGGGTGATCATGAAATAACCTTAGTTGAAATTTGAAAGTGCATACCTAGATAATGTTATGTTTATTCAGTCTAATCATTTTTTTCCAGGGATGTTTAGGATTTTAAATTTATTGTCAGGGTCTGGTTAGGCTTGTTTAGGTATGTTTATGTTTAAATCAAAAATAAACAGACCCAAACAAACCTGGGTAATTATATATTACCCAGGGACGTAGCAAGTCAAAACCGGGCCCTGGTGCAAGACTAGAGCACAGCAGGCCCCCTTCACCATGGGCAATCGGAAGGTTCAAATTTTAAAATTTATTTACTGGGTGAGGGGGGGGGGTTATGGGCAAAATTGCTGATGGCAAATTCGTAGGTGAGAAATTTTTGGAAGATTACAGACGATAGCTATTTTTGTAACGAGGTTTTTCGGCAAGCGTTCTGAAAGTACCATCGTCACCAGAAGTATCTGGGACAAAAATAATTCATGATAATCTTCTGGACTATTTTTACCATTATTCATTTTACTTATAGTTTGACAAATATTTGACACTAAAATTCATATAATAGTACAAGAGCTAATATGTTGCTGTCCCAGTTACTCTTGGTGACGATGGTACATAGTAGGTACTTTTCGAACGCATTTTACTTAAGAAAGTATGCCTTTTTAAGCCTAGGTCGGGATGTGATTACTTAGGCCAAGAAGTGATTACATACCCACGATGCGAAAATTAACATTCCAAGTATGTCCCTAGAATCAAACAAGAATGTTATGTCTAGGATACATATTAAGAATGATATATGTAGATATACCTATTCTAAGAATATTTCAAGCATATTGGTATAATATTCTTTTAAGAACATAACCATAATGTCATAGAAACATTCTTTGAATGTGAGAATATACATTTCAATTTCAAGCATATTTTTAGAATCAAGCAGGAATATTCTTTTTAGGATGTACTGAGAATCTCATAGGTATATTCTAGGAACATCCTAATGGATTTCCCAGGAAGTTCTTGGGTATTGCAAACAGTATTTTTACAATCTTTTCTCAGAACATTCTCAGGACATTCGCAATGGTTTTGGCGAACATTCTAGGCACATTCCCCCTAAAAAAAGAACATTCTCAGTACATTCTAAGGATGCAATTTTCTTATGTGTGTAGAATGTAATAAGAATGAGAGGAATGTGTCTAGAATGTTCGCCAAAACCATTGCGAATGTTCTGAGAAAAGATTGTAGAAATTCTGTTTGTAATACTCAAGAACTTCCTGGGAAATCCATTAGGATATTCCTAGAATATACCTACGAGATTCTCAGTACATCCTGCAAAGAATATTCCTGTTTGATTCTAAAAATATGCTTGAAATGTATATTCTCACATTCAAAGAATGTTTCTATGACATTATAGTTATGTTCTAAAAAGAATATCAATATGCTTGAAATATTCTTAGGAATGTTAATTTTTGCTTTCAAATAATGCTCCTTCCAGTCCTTTTATATTAAAGGCAGTGAAAGAGTTGTTGGAAAACTTCTCTGGAAAACACAAGTGTTTAACCAAAGCTACGGTTTTCAGCTTGTTAAGCTCTCGTCGCGGTAAGCACCATAGAATAGTAAGCACGCTAACTGAGAGAAACAGGTTCCAAGGTGATTCAAACGCTAGGCAAGATGTAGATCTTTAATAGCGCGTGGCTCCCTCTCTTGGAAGTCCTACAAAGCAAAAGAAAAAGAATATACCAATAATATTTTAGTAGGTTCTAGATAGAGTATTATTGTTTAATTGTTCAATTAAGGTTTTTGACCGTGCGTTCGTTATTTTGGTCTGAGTTCTCCGAGCTTGACTTTACCGTTCGTTTATTTAAAACGTGTACTCGGTGCAGCCTCATTCGCGTTCGTTAATTAAAATTTCCGGTACTTTTATACAGCGTTCAACTGCTCCGTTCGCTCGCTGGTCACGTGATTACGGCTCCGCTCAGCTCGCTCTACACTTTGAGCAAAATACCGAACGCAAGGTATGTAGGAACTTTAGATAATTAGGTGAACAATATGAAAATATTCTTTTCATGGTTACCTACCTACATAAACTTCTCAGCACAACTTGGTAGGTACCTATATTCTCAATACTTGATAGAGATATTAGCTGAAAGAAAATTTTTTAGGGTACATTATAATAATGTTCGTATGACAATATTCAAAGAATGTTATACTATAAAGTAGGTTCTTAGCACAATCTTTCAGGTAAGTGCATAGAAGCAACATTCCTAGTACATAAATAGAACGTCCAAAAATGAATATTTCAATCGAAACAATCTTAGAATATTCATTAAACATTCCTTAAAGAACATTCCAAAAAGCACTTTGAGTGTGAGCACTGTTATGTGGGCACTTTCCGGCATAGTCTGAAAGTATGTTTTTTCCAACCAAAACATAGTATACCGTAAAACGGGGTTACTTTGTAACACATGGTAGCGGGCGCACCAAGTCCTCAACAGTTCGCGCATTTCTGAATCGACAGCCTCGCGATGGCGCTCAATAAGGCATTCCAAAAAGTGCGCGAACAAATCAGTACATCAATTGATATTGTGAACGACGGCATCCAGATGTGCATGCGGAAAATATCAACAATAGATAATTTCAATATTTTACTTTTGCTGTAAACTTTACCTTGCCCAACTAAGACTATCTCATGTAGCCAGGATTTGAATTTCGGTAGTGTTCTTTGTAGTTTTAGCTATTTACTGATGAATTAACATTTTCATAATTCTAATCAACAAGCATGTGACGCCCTATTTAATAAAATTTCAACAAATTTCGTGGTGAAATTGTGACACCATTTATGTGGTACCATCAATAAAGAATGAAGGCTTTCACGGCCGGTCAAATCTAGCAAAAAAGTTTTTTCCGGGCTATAATGCCGTGGTCCATTAGTATTTCTACCTAACGTTTCGTCTACTGCTGCGGTAGACATCTTCAGAGGCGGTGGGGTAGAGGACGAAGTGTTCTCTTCCGTGTTTCTCCGATGACTGAATTCGACGTTGAGGGAACTGCGTTATTTATATCCAGGGTAGTGGGCGTGGCTTGGATTACGGTATTTTCCTTGTCTCGTTCTCGGAAAGGAAGGGTCTTTGTTTTTCGGAGAACTGGCAACCAGCTTTTATTGAGGTTCATGCCCTCTTCTTTTCTGTTGAAGTTGTTGTGGTGTTTCTGTATCTCTATGGCTTCTCTGTGGAGCCTGGTGTAGAAATATTTGGTTCTATCCAATGTTTGAGTCTGGTCGAAACGAATGACATGGTTTGTTTGTGTAAGCACTTTTTCGCCGATTGCTGATCTATCTATTTGTCCTTGCTGACAGTTTCTTTTGTGCTCTTTGACCCTGGTGTTGATAGAGCGTTTGATTGTTCCTACATAGACAGATCCACAAGAGCAGGGAATTCTATAGACGCCAGCCGATTCAAGAGGTGCCCTAGGATCCTTGGCCGATCTTAGACTTTGCTGAATTGTTCTTGTGGGCTTGTAGATAGGCTTAACGTTGTGTCTTTCTAGCGTTCGCCCTATGCGATCTGTGACGTTTTTGATATAGGGAAGAAAGGCTCTCCCTGCCACCTGTGCTGGTTGCTTGTTAGTTGTGCGCTGCTGCTTCGGTCTTATGGCTCTATTTATCTCCTGCTTGGAGTACCCATTTCCTTCAAGTATCGATTTTAGGTGTTGCATCTCGTCCTGAAGGTATCTGGGTTCACAAATCCGGATTGCTCTGTCAGATAGAGTTTTAATGACTCCTCTCTTTTGCCTAGGATGGTGATTAGATTCCTTATTGAGGTATCTGTCCGTATGTGTCGGCTGTACACTCTGTGTCCTAGTTTACCTGAGGGTAATCTTTCTAAGAGGACGTCGAGGAATGCAATTTTGTTATCCTTCTCAACTTCCATCGTAAACTGTATCCTGGGTTCTATCGAGTTTAGATGATTAAGGAAGTTTTCGAGCTCTGCCTCTCCATGGTTCCAAACAACAAATGTGTCATCTACATAGCGAAACCAACAAGTAGGTTTCTTTGTAGCCGTTCGTAGTGCCATTTGTTCGAAGTGTTCCATGTAAAAGTTGGCGATAACCGGGCTGAGTGGACTTCCCATTGCGACTCCATCTGTCTGCTCAAAGAATTCATTTTGCCATTGAAAGTACGTAGTCGTCAGACAGTGGTGAAATAAGTTGTTGATTTCTTCCGGAAAAACATCTTTCAGATACTCTAAGGTCTGATTTACTGGTACCTTAGTAAACAATGAGACGACATCAAAACTAACCAGAATGTCGTTTGGTAATAGAGTGATATCACTGATCTTTTGATGAAATGAGTTGAGTCCTTGACATAAGAGCTGGATTGGCCAATCCGTGGTTGAAGGAGGGTGGTGAGATATTTGGCTATGCTGTATGTGGGCGAATCTATTGCACTTACAATGGGCCTGAGTGGGTTGCCTGTTTTGTGAATCTTAGGAAGCCCATATATTTTAGGTGGTAAGGCCTCAGATTTGATGAGTTTCCTTATGTATTTCCGGCTCCAACGGTAGT